ATTAATGATGTTCCTTGCACGTTTTAAGTGTCTGGCCCATTTCATTATTACGTTTTAAGTGTCTGGCCCATTTCATTATTACGAAGCACAATATAGACACTTACCCAACAAGCGACACTTTCCAAAAATATATATATATTGGAAAACATCAAGACTTTTATATTGAACTTTCGAAATGACAAATTTTAAATCCCTAATTTGATTGGGCGTCGTGATGTGTGACTCCTGAAAGCCCAACCAAAATATTGACCCTCGTAGAGCAGCTTAGGCCAGCAGTGACGTTATTCAATGGTGTCGTAAACCAAGATTGGACTGGAATAATATTTTTCCTTATTTCAAACCCAGTATTCATTTCATTTTACTCTAAAATGTAACAACAACATCCCAAGACGATCGGAGAGTGTTTCGAGTATTATTTCGTGGAACAAGTTACATTGTGTTTATTTTGTACCGTGGTATAATTGTTTATGCTATTGTAAATCAGAGTAAAAGAATTTAGAACAAATGCTTAAGGCCACAATGTGTCTCCTTCACTATCAATATGTCAAATGGACATTTGTTTGTTTTTATGTCAAGAAGCGTGATACCCTCTCTGTGTTGATATATTCGCTTTTCAATTGAATCTTGAACTTTTTCATAAAGTAGAAAGCCATACATCGGAGATTAGCGTTTTGGTTTCATACAAATAAATATCTTATTTATTACACTACGATTGAGGTGCGACATAAATTTCAAGTTTCAATATCCGGCTCACGTAATCACTGAAAATATTTTCGGATATACGATGAATCAAAATTAATATTCTCTCTGCAAGAACAATTCATTGACGTTATGTCCAATATATATTCTTTCATTTTCAATACGCACACATGTACACATGATCTTGATCCGGCACTCTTGCTATTTTCATGCATCACCTTTCTTAATAATGCCGAGGATTCAATTACGTACCTTTTAATTTTTTTTCTTTCGATTTTAAGATCCCCTGATGCACAGTAAAAATGTGATATTATACAGAGTTAATTTTAGGATTCAATAAAAATAGTGCCGATCGATTCTGTTGTCAGGATATTAATTGTACATATAAAGATAAACTTTTTAAAACAATAAAGCAAGCACTATACAAAAAGTTATATACTTATAAGTATTTAACTCAAATAGAAGTAAAGAAACAAACAAAACAACAAATAAAAGTAAATATATGCATGATTTTTATTAAAAAAAAAAATCACGTTTATATATGTTGGAAGTAGCACACTATATACTGTAAACGAAATGATTCACGTGTTCGTTGATCGCTATCTAGGATCCCCTCGCTAACAGAGTTGGGATCAACGCCTTAATCCCTATGATAGATCCCCTAAGGTGCACCCACAGCTGACACCCAATGATTAGTCTAAGAGTTTCTCTGTTCCATTATTTAACCTGGCAAAACTTGACGCTTGTGTCATAATGATATGAAGCTAAAAATATCTTTGATTCAATAAAAGAAAACCCTGTTAAGAGCATTACCATTTCTCAATTTTCAGATGACACCCGTCAAGCAGATCCAGATTTTCTTGATGTTTACGGAGTTATGAAGAGAATTGGAAATTAATGCGGATCATACAGGTTATACCCAAGCTCATTCTATATGTAACATAGAAGAACGAATACAAGACTTTTCCTCTACGAACTTCGTATATATATACAGTAATTAAAACATATACTACAAAGAATAAGCATATTAAGGGGGGGGGGTGTTAAAATCAGTCTCTATTTAGTTCTCTTTATATGTATGTATCTAGGAAACTAAATAAGCATAGAAGCAAGCTACAAATACTGTAAAACTTCCATTGTTACTTGTAATTAAATCAGTAATTTACAGTGTATTTCAATTTAAAAAAAAAAATTAAAGATGGATTACCTATAATGACTCCGTTGTCACACGCTTATATCCGACATCTCTTTTCCTCGTTAATACCAGACGTCAAAAAGTTGTCTTTGGGCTTAGTGAACGTTATGGCTACCGTATTGTTGTCTGACTGTTGAGAAATCCTGTCTATTCCTTCATATACAAATTGACATAAGGGATTACTCTATTTTACACCTTTGCAAACAGTACAGGGTGCCGAAACAGTCCTGTTATTACGTCCGATTTAGTAACGTGCCCTCTTCGTTTTGTTTGAAGACACTTGACCAAGGGTACACGTGATCAATGAGATTTATACAAACAACAAAAATATATTTCTAATGAGTTGTGTATCTTTTTCCTTTGTGTTGAAGGTATGTTAATGTTTTCGTAGTCCTTCAGCGATTTTAAAATTATTAAAAACGTTTTTATGTTACGGTATTTCGATCGCTCAGGGTCTTAGACAATTTAGAAGCAATTAAGTTTCTAGGCAACAATATGACACTCGTCTCGCCACTTAAAGACACACGGGGGTGAGGAAACCCCCTTAAAAGTTAAACATCGCCCTATTTACAAGAGATCAATATCTCGATAAGAAAAAAAATTAATCTTGGACAATTTCTCGTCTTAGGGCTGTAACTTAGTTACTTTGTGGCTTACTTCTCGAGTTTTTTTAATCAGTGGTTTAAAATTCAAATCCAATTATCTATGCGTTTTAAATTGCAACAATTGAAGAGTGTCTAGAGACAGTGTAATTTATTGTTAAAGGTATAAATTGACAATCTTCCTTTACGGGAAGATTGCAAGATAATTTTTACATGGTTGATACCCCCTCTGGTTTTAATTCACCCGTCATGAACAAACCTGCACCGAATTTAAATGAAAACATCCACAACTCGGGCGATTATTTTGACATTTCTTACTTTATGACCGGTAAGGTATTTAAAAACAGGAACAAATCTGTAAATGGGATGAATCAAGACAAATGAAATGTCTTTAGAAAGTGATTTGATTCCAGGGCGCGGTGTCACGTTCAGATTACGACACTGTTAATTAGACATTCTCTAAGGAGTGTGTGTACATGAAGCAGTTCAAATCAGATTTTATTTATGTTTTGTCAGGGACGTATAGTTAGTACATATACGTCCCTGGTTTTGTAAACAGCAGGACTTTCATTAGAAACAAGGATGCTTCTATATACCAGTTGAATTTGGCAATTCTATTTAATTTTGACATTGTCATCATATTTTTATACAAACAACCTTTACCAGTGGCGGATCCAGGAAAAAAGGGTGAAATAATCCTCAAGTTTGGGGGCCACCTTAAGTCTCCTTTTTTTGGATATTTTTGATGGGTCCAGAGCAGGACCCAAGGGGGGGGGGGGGGCTCCAATGCTTCTAAGTTTTAATTATTCTTATCAAAGAATAATTTTGCAAATTATTTTAGCTACGCTTTATGTATAATAATTTATTATTTAGCGGTTGTCCCACGAAGTCGTTGCCCCTTGTAAAACCGACACTGTGACATGTAGCGGTTTTTGTGACACCACTTGGTAGTTATGCTAGGATTTTTCAACACCACCCCCGTAGAGATAAATACCCATAGCGTAAACTTCCTTTTCAACCTTTGACTTTTAAGAAAAAATGAAGAATAAAATTCTTTTTGGCTTTAGTTGTTTTAAAATATGAGAGATAACGGTTGCAACATTGCAGAAAAAAACCATATCCCACGTAAGCGATTTTCTGTGAAAAGATTGTAACCATTATACCGTACTGTTATACCCGGTATAAGAAAGAAAAAAAAAAGAAGTTTCATTGTTTATATTTTTATTGTCTTTAAATCAATTATTTATGGTGGGCGAAAGTATGTAAAATATCATTGTATCGATCCTTACTTTACATTGATGGAAGGTCCATAATAGCTGGCTACAAGGTTATACAATAGTACTTTTTATTTCCATTTGCACCACATTACTATAATCAGAGGCATAAATATGTCTCTGCTGCAATGTGACAATAACGACGGGGGGACGAAGTGTATACCACAAGTCCTCAACGGTTCTCTACCATAAAGAGAGGTAACTCTTGGAAAATAACCAACATAAAATTTCAAGAAAAGGATGACTGCACTTAAGGACATGCGGAATTTGCGACAAAATAAACTTTCAAAACAAACATTTTTCTTTTCATTGCAAGAATGGTCAACATCCAATCTACAACTTTATCTAATTACGTTTAATAAAAGTGTATATTTACGAAGTTCGAATCTGTTTTCAAAGGCAGGGGTCATCACAATTTCTTAAATCTCCGTTCGATAATGAGGACGCCCACTTTTTCACTGACTTTATACATAGTCAGCGCATGTTTGTCTATTGTTCTACGTTTAACAATAGTTGTATATTTGCATAAATAATAATGTGTCAAAAGGAGATTAATAGACAAACATGCGCTCATGGTTAAAAAGAGAAAAAACTGCTTCTTCTTACATTCGTTCTCTGTGTTGTAACCAAGGATTGTGACATGTTGAATATTATAATTCACCACGTGATTTCTTACCTCAGGTAACTTTGTGAATACTTACTTCCGTCGCGTGACTTGTAAGGTAGCATGTGCTAACTAGGACATTGTGATCGAACACGTTTAGTCATCTGGCATTGATATAAAATCTGCTTTAATTACATTGACGTGCTCATATTGTTAATTTCGTTTTGAAACCTTTGTCAGAAGTGTATTTGTGCCATACAGAATGGAGAAGGAGATTTGAAAGAGTGGTCACGTTCTTTTTTCCAAACATGTCATTGTTATCTATCAAGTCTAATTTTAGACTCATTCTTACAATATTAGCTCCACCTCTCATGCATACCTAATGTTCAATCAAGGGCAGGTAAGTGTAAATTCACTATATTTGGAAAGCAGTAAGGACAAAAAACATTGAATCATTTTATTGTATCACAGTCTAAAATCATTTTAAGATTTAAATGTGGTTCCAAATTGACAGTATTCTTTCATAAACATACAAAAGTGAGATAAGGTTTAGAAATAAAAGCAACAGAAGCAACCGAAAAAGACCCAAAAACAGGCGTTAAGTGCAGTCATCCTTTCATAAGATGTAGCGAAAAGAATTTTATCATTCCTGCATCTTCACAATGTCACAATTTATCAGATGGAATGATACATGGATCAGTAGGATCAAATCGAGTTGTCAATACTGATGTAGTATAGAAAAAATACGGTACTTATTCCTGAAAAAAATCTTTTTGGGGACACTTCATCATTACAAATACACATAACCAGATATATATATATACTAAGTATATACGTCCCTGACATAACACAGGTACACTGCAGATTGCAACATTTGCTCTAGCACTAAAAGTTGTCATAATGCCATAAGTAGTTTCTCAGTAGAACCAAATATAACATTTCCTCTTAACACTGTCCAGCAACTGACTGCAAACTCACATCCTACAGTTTTCTGCAGCACAATAGACTCCTTTAGGATCTTATCAAAATAAACTTAAGGTTCCCTTACAAGGAATGATGTAGATATCTCCAGATATCCCAGAGCTATGGAGTCCTGCAGATATCTCAAGATATCCCCCAGCTTTTGGGTCCTTATATCACTGACGACATCCATCATGTAAAGGCTGGGAGGAGCGAGTGTCCCTCCATATGGGAGGTAGAAACCCCTGTAGATATTTACCACATTTGGAACATGGCGCTGAGAATAAAGTCTTGTAATTATTCAACCAAATCTGAAAGTAAAGGAATCAAAACTTATCTAATATGAAAGCTAAGTGTTATACAAGTATATACAAAATGTTGTCTCAAAAAGCAGAAACTTTTCATATATTTAATAAACTACCCCACCAAAATTAGTCATTTTTTAAACATTGTTGGGAATTATGTTGTTATTTTTTTCGTTAATAAGAGGTTGTAATATCATATGCATTTCAAGGGTGTTAATTTTCGGTGGTCTGTGCACCGCAAATTTTTCAATTTTACATGTAGAAACAACAATGCCATCGATGTTTTGTTTGATACTATTACATTGTACAAAAAATAAAATATGGCAAAATATACACCGATAAAAACTCTGTGATCTAGTGTACCAATATGTGAAAATTCATTAATATAGCATCATAAATGGCAACAACATAGCGTAAAATCTGTGATCTAGTGTGAAAATTCATTAATACAGCATCATAAATGGCAACAACATAACGTTATATGTACAAACATTTTCCGTTAGATATTGTCAAAACTGGCGACATCGGTCGATAATGTGGCGCATCAACTTATCATTCAGTACTGTATTGAGTGGAGTATGACTCCTGTCCATACAAGAAAAGAGTTGGAAATGATGGAATGACATAAAGAAATGTTTCGGACACGAGGATAAACCTGGCAAAAAAGGTGCAAGCGTGATTAGACTAGTTATCTGATGGTAGAGGCGCTAGGTAGCCCCCAAAACGACGACAAACTAAGGAGCTTAACGTCATACATGGAGAGCGCCATTTCTTCATGATCGAGGCACAGGCACTGGACGTTAATGTAAATATTGAGTATGTGCATATCCTTTTTTATACATGCACATACTCAATATTTGCATTGACTTCCAGTGCCCGTGGATCGAGGTTGGAAAATTGTCTATTCAAAAGAATTAATTCCGCGATCTTTCGATGCCTTTAGTATGTCCAAATGGGTAATTTGCTTACCAAATAAAAATGAAATGTAGTGTCAAATTTCTGGGTTAAAAGAAAAAAAACTTAAAAAATTCTAAAGAAAAGAGGTACAAATCCTTAACAAACGCCACAAACTAAAAACTATGTTCTGACGACATCGGTGTTGCGCCGACAGCTTATTTTGTAAGACTTGGAGTCATTTAACTAAGAGGAAAATGTTATTTATAGAGATATTTTGTTGAAATTTCTTTGTACTATTTAAAAAATGTTGAAAATGATGCATACCAATTCTAAACTTTGTAATATTAATAAAACAAAAAAAAAATATTGAATGTTCGCATTTTCGGACAACCCTCTTAAAACACGCCAATAGCGAAGCGCAGGGATGACTAATTCTAATTCATTATAAAGGCTAAGTTCACATTATGTTTTAAATCCACCTGGATGAAAATCACTTCACCATAAGCATAAATTCATTACGTCAAGCATATTCGTTGTAACCGTGTTTTACTGTACATAACTTTAAATGACAATGTATTTCAGGGCCATACAATAAAAAGTGTTTATGCGTGAACATGTTACCGGGTAATTATAAAGAGTATCGACTTATTTTATTTTTTATTTAAATAAAATAAAGAATTATAGATTTCGAAAATAACTAAGCAATTTCAGCTAAGTAGGAGGTTAAACAAAACAAGAAGCCTAGAATCGCTTTTCTGATCAATTGTACGACTTTATCACCTCAACTCTATGCCTCTATGCATCATAAATATTTAGATAAAGTCTTGAAATTCCTAAGTAGGTCACTATGACCTACTTTTTGATTAACACACCCTAAGAACCAAAGATGCATCAACTGACCAAGATCGACGATTCCGAGCTCATTATTATTTGAAATATTAAAAGATAACTTTATTCCAAAAGTAGGACATTATGACCTACTTTTTGGTTGACACAATCTGAGGGCCCAAATGAGTAAACTGACAAAGTTTGATGATTCTAAGCCGCTTAGTATATAAAATATTGAGTTAAAAGAGTGAAATTCCAAAAACAGGTCACAGTGACCTACTTTTTAGTTGAAACACCCAAAGGACTCAGGATGCATCAACTGAAAAAATGATTTTGAGCATCTTATTATTTAAGGTTATCATGGTAAAAGTGTAAAATTCCAAAAATTGCTAAAGATGACTACTGTTTGGTCAAACCACTTCTAGGACCAATTATTTGAAATCTTAAGATATAGCTATGAAATATCAAATTAGGTCACTGTGACTTTTTGGTTAACATACTTAGTATATTTTGTCAGGCTTGCCTTTTTAGCTTTTCTGAGCTAAAGGTTCAAAGAGCTTATGGTATGGCCATTTGTGTGATTCGAGGTGCATGTAAACTTTTTGGAATATGGGCCATATTATCACAGAGTATCCTTGGCCTAAGGGCTTTCATATATGCTAAAAATAGGAATGTGTCTCTTAAACAAAGGGAGGTCACTTGGGAAATAAAAACAAAAGTAGTGGTTGCTAAAAAAATCTTCTCAAGAACCACAGGGCAAATTATCATCAAACTCATGCATAAGGATGGGCATATGTTGTAGAATAAAAATTATTTAAGACATCACCCTGGAGCAAAGTGTGTGGTCTCAAGGTTACTTCAAAGTTGATCTAAAATGATGTTTTGTTAAAACTTTGATATTTTTCCCACTTTAAGGACTACAATCATCAAATCTTGTCAGTTGATGCATCTTAGGACCTCATGTCATACTGACTCAAAAGTAGGTCACAAAGACCTACTTTCTGAATTTTAAATGTATTCTTTTCAATTTGGTTTTGATACCTTGGACAATTTGAAGCCCATGATCATCAAATTTGTCAGTTTATGCATCAAGGGGTCTTGAAGTGTGTCAACCAATAAAAAGGTCACCATGACCTACTTTCTGAATTTTATGGCTCATCATTAAAAAAAAAATTAAGGTCATTACTTTGAATACTTAAAGGTTTAGAATCATCAAACCTTGTAAGTTGATACTTAGACGAGGTGTATAGCATCATTAGGTGCAAAGATCTTTCAATTATTCAACTCTTAAATAACACAGGGAATAAGCAAATAAAGTTCAAAACTATGTTGCATATGTCCATAGGCTTGATATTTAAAATTTAACATGTATATAGTGGGTAAAAACAGCTGTGACAGACTTTGGAATTTTAGAATTAAAATGAATGAAACAGACCTTTTTCATGTTTTTATTTCAACCAAGTTAAAGAGTGTCCAAGAGTTTACATGTACTTACAAGGAATGAACGAAGGCTGACATCTGGAAGCTGGGGATGGCAGAAATGTATGGTGGCTGCTGTTACTAAATCTGTCACCTGTTATATAAAACAACGAAATGTATGGTGGCTGCTGCTACTGAATCTGTTGCCTTTTATATGTATAAAAACACAGAACTGTACAGTGGCTACAATTACTGAATCTGTCACCTGTTATATAAAACAATGAAATATACGGTGGCTGTGGTTACTAAATCTGTCACCTGTTACCATTTAAGTGTAAATTTTAGCGAGATGCAAATTTAGCGATTTGTCCTTAAAAATTGATATTTTATTTTTAGCGAGAAGTAATTTTAGCAATTTTAAAATGCTATCTAAAGAAGCTACTACAAATAAAACGCAATTAATTTTTAGTGATATTCAATTTTAGCGATCTCAGCACTCTAGCTAATAATGCCAAAATTAAATCCTCGCTAAAAATTCTGCTTATACGGTAGGTAAAACAATGAAATGTATGGTGGCTGTTGCTACTAAATCTGTCACCTGGCATATAAAACAATGAAATGCATGGTGGCTGTGGTTGCTAAATCTGTCACCTGTTATATAAATCAATAAAATGTAATGTGGCTGTCGCTACTAAATCTGTCACCTGTTATTTGTATTTATCATATACTTTGTAGTAAATACACCGATTCTGCACTGTGCAATACGTGTGACGTCACAATACCCCATATCAAGGACCAGTCGGAAAATCTATATCACGTATCGGAATGGCGGGCAAAAATCCATATCAAACCGGAAGTAATGTTTGTTTAAAGTTTAAAAGTCAATTAACTTGATTTAATTTAAATATACATGTAAAAGAATTCTTTACTAACATCTGTGGACTTAATTTGTTTTCAAAGACCTAAAATTTGCTTTATTAGATTTTAAAGAAAAAAAGGTCATAAACATGCACGAAACATTCTTCAATAATTTTATGTGAACTCACATATTAAGTATTTTAAATATATGATAAATAGAATACTACATACTGAAATCCATATCATATGTCATATCAGCCCTTGGGCTGATATGGGGCCACTCGGGCTGATATGACATATGATATGGATTTTAGTATGTAATATTCTCTATATAAAACGCAGAAAGGTATGGTGCCTGCCATTATGCAATCTTTCATTTTTTGTACATAAACACCGAAATGTACATGTACTAAGAATGATTTAACTAAATTTTTTCAGAAAACACTTAAAATCTATTATAAATCATACACATTATATTTATATACAGAACATTATTGTATCTCTACAAAAATGATGCATGAATGAAGTACACGAACTTCAATATTGAACTTTATACCAAAGTTTAACACAAACTTACCCTATTGAAAACTTGATATCTGGATTTGGACCATATATCAGGCTGAAGGGGATAAAAATCAAATATATTATAATAAATGTTATCATAGAAATCACACATCTTTACAATATCTAAAATCAGAAGTTATTAATCTACTGTATAATCCCTCAATTTATGTTTTAACTAGGCATATTGTACCTCCTCAGTTGCTTTTCTCCCCTTTTTTATGATTAAAACTCATTATTTTACCATATATTATAAATCTTTGGCAATCATTCTCCATTTTGTTCAGCATTTATTAAATGTCCGACTTTCCTGATATGATTTTGCCAAGGACGCTTCAATATTCCAGTGGCATTTCAAGCACAATAGGTTTGTTTTTTTTTCCTCTCATTTTTATAAATTTGTTATTTTACACTAATGTATCTGAATGAATGACTTATACCAACTTTGAATGAAATGCCTTACATTATCAACCCATTTTATTACATAATACAGTCCCATACTCACTCGTCCATCATCCGTTAAGAAGTCCTCATTATAAGCCTTGATAGATACATACTCAATGAGAAGTCCTCTCAACACAATCACTGCCTTCAATGTCTTGGCCAGGGTTATCTACAAACATTTTAATAATCACCTACTGGTTTTTGCTATGTTGTTTTGATTTAAAATAAAATGAATTCAACTCTTTCTTCTGAAACCTTTAAATTAAACTTTTAAATCAAGGATACACCAGAGGTTAATTAGACACATGTAAATTCATTATATTTCATTTTTAATGAAGCAACACACTCTGCATCTTCTTAATTACTAAAATAATGTTCATCTATGGACAAATAAAATCAATCACTGAATTAAACTAGTATCTAAGGAAAATGTGTCAATGTAGAACAGTATTGTTACCCATGGGTCTTTAAGTGATACAGTACATATCTGTTTCACTCACCTGTAGGACAGTACTGTTACCCCTGGGTCTAATCAGTGATACAGATATGATGTCTGTGTCACTTACTGTAGGACAGTACTGTTACCCCTGGGTCTAATCAGTGATACAGACATGATATCTGTGTCACTTACTGTAGGACAGTACTGTTATCCCTGGTGTAATCAGTGATACAGACATGATATCTGTGTCACTTACTGTAGGACAGTACCGTTACCCCTGGGTCTAATCAGTGATACAGACATGATATCTGTGTCACTTACTGTAGGACAGTACTGTTACCCCTGGGTGTAATCAGTGATACAGACATGATATCTGTGTCACTTACTGTAGGACAGTACTGTTATCCCTGGTGTAATCAGTGATACAGACATGATATCTGTGTCACTTACTGTAGGACAGTACTGTTACCCCTGGGTCTAATCAGTGATACAGACATGATATCTGTGTCACTTACTGTAGGACAGTACTGTTATCCCTGGTGTAATCAGTGATACAGACATGATATCTGTGTCACTTACTGTAGGACAGTACTGTTACCCCTGGGTCTAATCAGTGATACAGACATGATATCTGTGTCACTTACTGTAGGACAGTACTGTTACCCCTGGGTCTAATCAGTGATACAGATATGATATCTGTGTCACTTATTGTAGGACAGTACTGTTACCCCTGGGTCTAATCAGTGATACAGATATGATATCTGTGTCACTTACTGTAGGACAGTACTGTTACACCTGGGTGTAATCAGTGATACAGACATGATATCTGTGTCACTTACTGTAGGACAGTACTGTTACCCCTGGGTCTAATCAGTGATACAGACATGATATCTGTGTCACTTACTGTAGGACAGTACTGTTATTCCTGGGTCTAATCAGTGTTTAAGCCATGATATCTGTGTCACTTACTGTGGGACAGTACTGTTACCCCTGGGTGTAATCAGTGATACAGACATGATATCTGTGTCACTTACTGTAGGACAGTACTGTTACCCCTGGGTGTAATCAGTGATACAGACATGATATCTGTGTCACTTACTGTAGGACAGTACTGTTATCCCTGGTGTAATCAGTGATACAGACATGATATCTATGTCACTCACCTGTAGGATGGTACTAAGGGTCAAAACGGTGATACAGACATGATGTGTAACTAATGTAGGACAGGAGTGTTACCCATGGGTCATATATCTATCTACATATACCTGTAGGATAATACCATCAGCCATGAGCCGAAGTGATATATAAACAAGAGGCCCAAGGGCCTTAACGGTCACCTGAGTATGATACAACAATTTCAAGGATGCATAGAGTATTAAATGAACTGAAAGGTGAAGCTTTGTTGCCCAAAAGCAAGAAAAATAGGGTGATCATGATCAACAAAATAATTGGTCTTAATATTCATTAACAGTTCATAAATTAGGTTCTAATCTGTTCCCCATTTTATCACTATCACTATACAGTATATTAACAAATTATCAATGCTTCTGTACTATTTTAATCCTTTGTTGAAATCTCTTACATTGGCATCTCTTGGTCTTTGATGAATATTTAATAAGACAAGTAATTTTTGTCTCATTTTTATTTATCTACTACTTACAAGTCTATCTGATCATTAAAACTATGAGAGTACTTTTTGTATTATACAATAAAAGTTTTTGCATAATTCTCTTGTTCTATTTACCTTTCAAGTACATTATTTACAGTGATAAATTATCAAAAGTAAATGGCAAAGGGGAATAACTCCTCTCAGTAGACTACAAACTAATAGAGCCCTGGCCAGGACCAGAACACTTGACCAAATGGTCCAGATGTTCAAAAATCTGGTAAAAATTCCCTTCCTTATAAAAACTTTTACTCTGTTTGCCTCAGATATGCCCAGGTGCGGAGAAGATTTTTAAATAAATAATGCATTTTTACTACAGATTCACTATATTATCAATAGAGCCCCAACCCCCAACCCCCCACCCCCAAAACACCAGAGCTTCTGACCCTGGGACCATATGTTTGCTCATCATCACTTTGTTTATCTGCTTAACACTAAGGAGCAAACAGGATTATTTAATAGAATTAATGCATTTTCACTAAATTATCAAGAGCCCCACCCTCACACCAGCACATCTGACCCAGGGGTCATGAAATTCACTACTCTGGAAGAAGCACACTTGCTCATCATAACTATACACTTAGCTTCTTTGCTTTTTTAACCAGAAGAAGAAAAGAATATTTTCAAAGAAAATTTGCTTTTTCACTTTATAATCAATAGAAGCCCCCCCCCCCCCCCTTCCCCCTCACCAGAACCCTTAAACCCGGGGTCATAAAATTCACAATTTTGGAAGAGGCATCCTTGTGTATCATAACAATGTACTTTAGTCTGTTTAAGCAATACCCAGGGGCAGAGAAGAAGATTTTCAAAGAAATAATTCACCTTCACTATAGGATCTATATAGCCCCGCCCTAGCACCAAAACTCCTGTCCCCGGGGCCATGAATTTCACAATTTTGGAAGAGGCATCCTTGCTTATCATAACAATGTACTTAGTTTGTTTAAATAATACCCAGGTGCTGAGAAAAAGATTTTTAAAGAATTAAAACATTTTCACTTCATAATCAATAGAGCCCCGTCCTAACACCAGAACCCCTGATCCAGGGGCCACGAATTTCACAATTTTGAAAGAGGCATCCTTGATTATCATAACTATGTATTTAATGTGTTTCAATAATACCCAGGAGTAGAGAAGAAGATTTTCAAAGAATTAATGCATTTTCACTATATAATCAATAGAGCCCCACCCTAACACCAGAACCCCTGACCCAGGGGCCATGAAATTCACAATTTTGAAAGAGGCACTCTTGCTCATCATAACTATGTATTTAGTTACTGAACTTAATACCCAGGAGCAGAGAAGAAGATTTTCAAAGGATTAATGCATTTTCACTATATAATCAATAGAGTCCCGCCCTAACACCAGAACCCCTGACCCAGGGGCCATGAAATTCACAATTTTGGAAGAGGCACTCTTGCTCATCCTAACTATGTACTTAGTTAGTTTATTTAATATCCAGGAGCAGAGAAGAAGATTTTCAATGAATTAATGCATTTTCACTATATAATCAATAGAGCCCCACCCTAACAGCAGAACCCCTGATTCAGGGGCCATGAAATTCACAATTTCTGAAGAGGCACTCTTGCTCATCATAACTATGTTTTTAGTTAATTTCTTTAATACCCATAAGCAGAGAAGAAGATATTCAAAGAAATAATGCATTTTCACTATATAATCAATAACCCCCCCCCCCCTTCACCAAAACCCCTGACCCAGGGGCAATGAAATTCAAAATTTCTGAAGAGGCACTCTTGCTCATCATAACTATGTACTTAGTTAGTTTATTTCATACCCATAAGCAGAGAAGAAGATTTTCAAAGAAATAATGCATTTTCACTATATAATCAATAGAGCCCCCCCCCCTTTCACCAGAACCCCTGACCCAGGGGCCATGAAATTCACAATTTTGGAAGGGGCATTCTTGCTTATCATAACTGTGTACTTAGTTAGTTTATTTTATACCCAGGAGCAGAGAAGAAGATTTTTGAAGAAATAATGCACTTTTACTATATGATCTATATAGCCCCACCCTAGCCCCAGAACCCCTTACCCTGGGGCCATGAATTTCACAATTTTGGTAGAGGGCTCAATGCTTATTACAATCATGCTAACAGTTTGACTGCTTGATGTCCAGGAGTAAAGAAGAAGATTTTTAAAGATTGCATTAATTTTAGTGGTTTTTGCCCCACCCCTCAGGCCCCAGGGGGGCAGGGACCATGAAATTCACAAATTTTGTCCCCCTTCACCCATAGATGTTATATGCCAAATTTGGTTGAAATTGGTTGAGCGGTTTCAGAGAAGAAGCTGAAAATGTTCAAATGTTAACGCACGACGCACGCCGACGGACGAAAACGGATAGCAATAGGTCACCTGAGTGACTCAGGTGACCTAAAAAGGCATCTGTATAACTCATTTGAAAGATTGTACTGGGTCCCCTGGATCTAATTAGTGATACAGACATGACATCTATGTAACTCACCTGAAGCACTGTACTAATTCCCATGGGTCTAATTAGTGAGACAGACATGGCATCTATATAACTCACCTGAAGCACTGTTCTATTTCCCATGGATCTAATCAGAGAGACAGACATGACATCTATATAACTCACCTGAAGCACTGTTCTATTTCCCATGGGTCTAATCAGTGAGACAGACATGACATCTATATAACTGACCTGAAGCACTGTTCTATTTCCCATGGGTCTTATCAGTGATACAGACATGACATCTATATAACTCACCTGAAGCACTGTACTATTTCCCATGGGTCTAATCAGAGAGACAGACATGACATCTATATAACTCACCTGAAGCACTGTACTATTTCCCATGGGTCTAATCAGTGATACAGACATGACATCTATATAACTCACCTGAAGCACTGTACTATTTCCCATGGGTCTAATCAGAGAGACAGACATGTCAGGGGAGCTCCTGTCCACTGTTGTAACCAGTTGCTGGATATTTCTGCAATCAATTCATTCCCATAAACATTATCATAATTTTTCTAGCTCTAACAAACATAGGTAATCAGAGATTACAGAGCTCACCTCAATGAATGTTGTTTTAAAGTAGGGCAAAGTCCTACACTAAACTAATAATCTAGTAGTGTGCATCCCTAGATGCAACATTTATGCAATTTTGGTCTGAAAGGCCTTGCAGTTACTTGGGAATAGACTTAGCAAAAACTTTAAACTAGTCACTCAAGCAGAAAATGTAAGTCAAATCCAACATCTGAAGCAAGTTTGAGAGTGTTTATCCCTTGATACACCATCCATGCAAGTTTGGTTCAGATAGTCATTATAGTTTCTTGGCAATGGACCTGCTCCAAAAACTTTAACCTGGTCACTCATTCTGAAAATATAAGTCAGATCCAGCATCCAGCATGTCCAGTAGTGTGCATCCTTAGATGTATTATCCATGCAAGCTTGGTCAATATTAGTCTTATAGTTACTTGCAAATAAGATCTGCTCCAAAAACTTTAACCTGGTCACTCATCCGGAAAATGTAGGTCAGATCAAGCATCCGAAGCAAGCCTGGTAGTGTGCATCCTTAGGTGTATCACCCATGCAAGTTTGGTTAGCATAGGGCTTATAGTTACTTGGGAATGAGACCTGCTCAAAAATTTTAACCTGCTCCAAAAACATTAACCTGGTCATTCTTTAACTAAAATTGCAGCATCTGAAACCTTGATTGGTACAATGAAACACACTAGAAGCATCCTCCATGTATCTTTGATTAATATAGGGCATAGAAGTACTTGAAAAGAAATCTGCTCCAAAAACTTTAACCTGGGACGCCCACACCAATGCCGAGGGTATTACATAAGCTCCCCAAACTTAATTGAGGTGAGCTAAAAAAATGAGCTAAAACCATAGCACAAATTTAATTCACTGGCACTAGAAATTTATTCCTGTAAAGTTGTAAAGAGACACCACAAACAAATTTTCTTATCTCCCATACAAAAGACTTACATTGCTAATTTTTCAATATTTCTTTCATTGAAAATCTGATTAGGAATTTTTTAATCCTGTAAAATGTGAAAATAGACTCTTGAAAATGTTCTCAGAAACTTAAAAGTAACAAAACTTCATAATATTTCTGAAACTTTTCAAAAATTGTACTGAACTGTAAACAAAGTTATATTTTCCCATTCTCACCTAATGATGTGACTTGGCCAAACATAAAGTTAGCTAACAGGTATCACTTCTTTAGTGAGAATGGCTTCTATCAATAAGCAAATATATTTAAATTTTGTAATAAAAAAATTGTTTGTGTTATTTATTCCTTTAATAGGCAATATTATACTATTAATAACTAAACCCCTCTAATAGTCCTGGTTATTGTGCTTACATGTTTTCTGGTACTCTGTGTATGGTGGGCTCTGGTCGTCTCATGCGCTTGGATTGACCCACAGGACCCTGATTTGTTCTCTTTAGCTGATTGGTTCCTAAAAATTGTGCTGAGTAATCTCCAAGTTTGTGTACCTAATATATATAGAAAAATAGAAATGATGAAGATCTAAGAAACTAATACATGCACATCATAATTCAAGAAACAAAAAAAGTTGTAAAACACAACTCTTAGTCTAACCTTATTGGTCCATTTGTGTGTGTGATGTAGTTGGGTAGCAATGCCTGATTTATCTGTGGCTGGGTCCAGTCCAAGGAGGCCAGTGCTGTTCAGTAACAGAGGGGGAATGTTTGTTGTGCTGTGAATATTCGGGGCCAACTTTTCCAAATCTCTGTGAACAACAATAATAAATGATTTTTTAACCAAAGTTGGAATATGCATGGAACAAAATTTACATTTAATATATTAGCCAAATATAAAACAACCGTTTCAGTAAAGAAACAATATTAATCCTTAGTTTCACACACTTCTGTTCATTAATCTGTATGATTTGCTCGGGAACACAAATATTTAAAATAACAAAGCTCAACTCTATTAAAACAAGAAATGTTTGAGAAATCTTCATCATTAAGTTTTTTCTGCAGGTCCAGTACAATACCCTGATAAAGGTATATAGCTTGATAAAGCTATGTAGCTTTATCAAGGTATTACAAATACCTTGATCAAGGTATTTTATGTAATGAAAATACAAAAAAAATGCTGAAAAAATAAGGGAAGTTTCTAGTATGCCGGTCCCCAGAATCACGCGACTGCGCAAGAGCGGTTATTTCCCTTGCCGTTGCTATGCAGAATGTAAACAAACTGCCATTTTCCCCTCGCTTCAACAAAACACATTCGATCGAGTGATTAGGGTTAGAGTGTATAGTTTTAAGACTGGAACTGTTTTATCAATCCAGTCTTAAATCTTCCTGACTTTGGGCTAATTCATGTAATTTTTGCTTACAGAAGGCACTGCCAAGTGCCTTTTGTGACCATATACTTGCATGAATCAGCCTAATGTCGAACTGTGCCGCTATATTATCTTACAGGAGTAAAGCATGGAACATGTAAAACTTGAGCAAACCATTAATTAAATATCTGTGCGCTGTCTGCGATCTAAGGATTAGGGTTAGAGTATATATAGCTTGGATATTGTGACTGTTTTATATGCACCCATGCTCGCATCTCCATCACTCTGGGCTTACACATACAATTTTTGCTTACAAAAACAGAAAGTTTTGTGACCGAAACTTTGATGAATTAGCCTTGGTTTAATATCGAAACATGCCCGATATTGTGCGCTAAGTTTAGGAAGGTTAATTATTGGTAAAAGCGACTTACCATTTACTTGAGCTAGATATCCCAACCTCCGAATGTTCATATTCAGAATATTTTTCCTTTCAATTCGATGGTGATGCACAATCCAATCAACCAAATACTAGTAACTTGTTACAATTTGTTAAATCCCTGCATTTCTCACAAAAATCTTGCAATTTTAGTAGCATTTCACTTTGAGTCCTATCAACTATTTCTTCATTACGTCAAAACACAAGTGAAGCACGTCATGAATATTTATGAGATTATGTCAAAAATTGATCATGTGATCATATTCCTAAACAACGCAAGATGAAGTTTTACCTACTAAACAAGTACGTTATTTTACGAAATCTTTTCTCATTTAAAAAAACTGTGTTTAAAAACCAGTTTTTTTAAACCCAATTTTTCACAAGGAATACGAATTTTGGCTCAATTTTGCGATTTGTGGCCTATTTATCGATTTTTGTCGATCGCTCATGCGATCGTATTATAATGTACGCCACCTTCGGCGGCACCTATTTTAGTGCCATATTTATAGGGACCGGTATACTAGAAGTGTTCCAAAAATAAATACTGAAAGTCGAATTCTGAGTTGTTGTCAGTAAATTCACGCATGCATGTAAAGTACTCAAACACAAAGAAATCAGTATAAAAGCATGTCGTGTGAGGAGACGTTCTTTTATGCTGTCTTTTTGATACCTGAGTACTTTTCATGCACAAGTGAACACACTGACCATAACTCATAATTCGACTTTTAAATTTAATTTTTTAAGATTTTTTTTTGTATTTTCATTGCATAAAATACCTTGATCAAGGTATTTGTAATACCTTGATAAAGCTATATAGCTTTATCAAGCTATATGCCTTTATCAGGGTATTGTGCTGGACCTGTTCTGGACAATAATGGCGAGGAAATTCGAAATATAAACAATTGGCCTATTACCCCAGATTGTCGTTTACTGCTGTGAGAGACTTCTGAAGCTTATTCAGGAGTGCCTTCTCGTCTCCTTTCGGTGCTTGAAAGCCATCGGAAAGGTCTGTAAAAACTTTAGAGACGCTAGCCCTGAGTTTTTGTGTTAATTTAATCGCCTGTGTCAACTTCTCGATTTGTGTGTCCAATCTGTTGTCCGCCATTTTTAATGCACTCGGAGTACATCTAAATTCTACCTCTCCTGACATGTCTATGATGTATTCCGAAAAGAAGTAAACAATTTTTCCCGAACTTGGAGAATATTCGGTATGTTAGCAGACTAGCCAGGGTAGATCAAATGTAACCCAGATCACAAATTTTTAATAAGTTTTTTTTTTGGGGGGGGGGGGGGTGAAGACATTTATGCTTATGGTCAAAAGAAGCCATAGTTTAAATTCGATGTATAGTCTTAATTCTCATGTAGGCCTTTACATGTTTACATAATATATATGTGCATGTTTGTACATATTCATGTATATTGCATATTGGTTATCATACACATATAGATACTGAAGAAGAATTGTAGTGTAAAATTTTAATTTTCCCTTTTTTATTAGTCACAGTGATTTGCTCACTATAAATGGTGCATTATGAATGTTGTATCATCTTTAATATATGTCTTCACCAATATTCCAAGAAACTTACAATACTGATGATACTGTTAAACAATGTAATAGGATTCACACCAAGCCCTACTAATGCAGCAACTAAAATTTGCTAAGGACATAATGTTTTTAAGCTTAATTTGTACATATTGCAACATAGCCAAAATAAAGTGATCGAGCCATGAACAATTACCGATAGCCATACTGCTGTATATGATCTGGGGATATCATACTTTAGATGAAGTTTCTGTCCACAATACTCACCAGTAATACCAGAGTTATATTACCCCTGGTTCATCTTCAGGCAAAGAGCATTACCCAGGTGCATATATGTATATTTATGCAGTCATGTGTATACATCATTGTAGATCTATAAAAGTATATACTCATTTCTCATCATTGATCCTGTTGATATTTCAAGACATGGAATATTGGGTAGATATTTAAGCAGTGCATACATTTAGAAGATATTTTCTAACAGGCCATTCTAAACCTTAATCCTATCAATATCCAGAAGTATATTTAACAAGAAGGACTCAGGAGTTGTGAAGCCCATGCAGTTTTTGAGAACAATGAGACATGGTATGAACATTTCTGACACTGTCAACTAGCTAATGACAGAAAGCACATCTGAGTTGATGCATGTACATCATAATCTGATAATTTTATGTATAACCCACTGTGGATCAGCTGATAAATTCATGTCAGTGTTGTCCATTAGCAAATCTGAATCGACCATTGTTATTATGTTATATTTAGCTATTAGCATGCCACTACATTACCGGTATATATGAAGATTATTTTCATAATTTTCATTTGCTGAAAGGGCATCACTTGATATTCATCCTTTTCTGATATTTAAGCAATAGAGCATCTGCAGAATATGATATATGACTCACTTTTTCTATACAGTAATAAGCAAAAACTGTCATGCCAAAGTTATGTAGAACTTGACATTATAATATTAGAAGCATGTTTTTACTAGTGTGACATCATGATAGCCAAATAAGTCTATTCAGTTCAGACTGAGTCAGTTTATTCACTTTGAGTGATTATATGATATAACTATTATGGATGACAGTGAATGGTCAATATGTGGTCATAAGGGAATCCATGTCAAGTGATATTAACCTCAGACACAGAAAATGATAGTGGTCACCCACGCTCCTGTCGCTATCACTTTCAGTATCTTTGATCAAGATCACTTCTCACCATTGATCCTGTTGATATTTCAAATTGGTCCTTATAACCACATATCAACCTACACTGAAGTCCATAATTGTATCAGAATAATTGATAAATGTATCATAATTGTATAGTGTTATCAGATCAATACGTACTATGTGTACTCTTTATCATTAGAGACTGTTCATTCGATGGAGTATCAATAAATTGATGTATAGTGTGGAATACACTATTAAGTATTGCAAAAAAATAATCTTATGTCACATAAACCTTTAAGCATTTTTCATGTATTTCTAAACAAGCTTATTAAAATAGACTTGTAAACTGCTAATAATACACTTTGTCAAATAAAGCAGACAAAATTGACTAATGTTGCTATATCTTTTCTACTGAAATTGCAGTTTTCTTTTAATATACATCAAGGCTATATATGAATTGCTTAATTTGTCTTTGTATGGTAAAGAGATGCAGACTTATATAAAATTGCTGTAAATATGGTATGACTTTCAGCTGCTGGATTGAGATGGGTGTGAAGGATCTATGGAAGGTCTTGTGCCCTGTGGCACAGAAGTCTGTCCCTGTGAAATCTTTGGCAGGAAAAACCCTGGCAGTAGACCTCAGTGGATGGATTGTGGAATTTAGAAGTAATCAGACTGTTCCACACCTGTATCTCAGGTATGTCAGATCTAATCAAAGATATCTGTCACCTGTAATCAGATCTAATCAAAGATATCTACTCTATCTCAGATATGTCAGATCTAATCAAAGATATCTGTCACCTGTAATCAGATCTAATCAAAGATCTCTGTCACCTATCTCAGATATGTCAGATCTAATCAAAGATATCTGTCACCTGTTATCAGATCTAATCAAAGATATCTACTCTATCTCAGATATGTCAGATCTAATCAAAGATATCTGTCACCTGTAATCAGATCTAATCAAAGATATCTACTCTATCTCAGGTATGTCAAATCTAACCAAAGATCTCTGTCACCTATCTCAGATATGTCAGATCTAATCAAAGATATCCGTCACCTGTAATCAGATCTAATCAAAGATATCTACTCTATCTCAGGTATGTCAGATCTAATCAAAGATCTCTGTCACCTATCTCAGATATGTCAGATCTAATCAAAGATATCTGTCACCTATCTCAGGTATGTCAGACCTAATCAAAGATCTCTGTCACCTATCTCAGGTATGTCAGACCTAATCAAAGATCTCTGTCACCTATCTCAGGTATGTCAGACCTAATCAAAGATCTCTGTCACCTATCTCAGGTATGTCAGACCTAATCAAAGATATCTGTCACCTATCTCAGGTATGTCAGACCTAATCAAAGATCTCTGTCACCTGTAATCAGATCTAATCAAAGATATCTACTCTATCTCAGATATGTCAGATCTAATCAAAGATCTCTGTCACCTATCTCAGGTATGTCACATCAAATCAAAGACTGTTTTTACCTCTATTTTTAGGACGTTATACCAGAGAACAACTCGGCTGATGAAGGCTTGAGTTAAGTTGGTCTTTATTGCTGATGGGGTAGCTCCCGAATGTAAGAGAGAGACAATATTAGCTCGCAATAAAGATGGACTTGGATCCAGCAAGATACACAGACAGGGTTTTAATTCAATTGCTGAAAAGGTATAAGAATATTAAGTCTTATTTAGGAAAAAGGGGAATTAAATGTTAATAATCCCCAAATATCAGTAACTGTAAGATCATAACTCTAATTCTGTCTTGTGCATTAAACACATACCTTCTGCTAGGAAGTCATGTTTATGTGTGTGTGGGAAGCGGGGAGGGTCGAATCTTGGTTGAGGTAATGGTCTCTGAATGCTCTTATGTTTAGAATATTTTAAAGTATGCAAGAGAGGATTGAAAAAAAAATCTATAAATTCACCTTTATCTAAATCTCAGTGTTATATGTACATTATATTTACAGTGTTTTGGTGTGTTAGAATGCCTTGGGATGCCTTGCATTCAGGCACCTGGGGAAGCTGAGGCATACTGTGCCTGGTTAAACAACAATGGAGTAAGCTTGACAAAATTGTTCATTTTGTAATTTCTTCATTACAAGGGGTGATCAAAAAGTTTGTGAACTAATTGAATTTCTTCCATAAAAGAAATAAAATTAGGTTTTAACGTTTATTATTTTTAAAGTAGTCCCCTCTGGTTAAAATGCACATCTGCACAAAGTTCTACCCATGCGCGAATCACGTACTTTAGACAGTCACGTTTCATGCTCCACCGTAGTGTTCTGTTTACAGAAGCTTAAAGATTTTTCCCAGTCTTATATTTCTTACCTTGCAGGTTATTTTTTATAATAAGAATAGTCTATTTGTAACAAAAGGCCAAATCTAGGCAATAGGATGGGTGGATAAGGATATTCTTTCCCAGAATGAGCATGGTGACCATCACAGCTTGACTCCTCTGTCTTGTGTGGGTCATTTATCCAATGTGGATTTAGTATGGGTGCCTTCTCTATGTCATATCTGATATGTTTAAAGTCTAAAATAAACGATATTTTAGGATTTAATAATTATTTGATTGTTAAGATATTCAACTATTTATCTACCGGTAACTGTAACTTGGCAAATTGCTCAACTAAGGACACATCTCCTTCCCAGCTTACTTTCACTGGGCACCAGAACAAACATCATTTTTAACCATCTCCCTTCCTTCACTAAAAAAATCAATCCAATAATGATTGAACTTTTGACAAGTCTTTTGCCTTCATAAGCCTTGTTCAAATTATTAATTGCTTCTGCAAAAGAATTTCCAAGATATACATTGAACTTTACAGCCGTTCCTTGCTCGAGTGTGACTGAGTCAACCATTTTTTGTCACAAGTCATCTACATGTTGATGTCAATACCACATTGTGACGTCATAAACATGGAACAAACCATCACTTAACATCTGCTATTTATAGAACATGTTTATGACTATGTGTGTACTAAATTTCATTCTCATCTGAATTGTTGTTTTGTAAATATAGAGGTAGTTCACTATTTTTTTTATCACCCCTCGTACTTATGATTTTAGTAATAGTTCAAACTTTTACCTATCTCATTCTCATAATTCATCATGATATACAATAAATTTAACAAATAGTTTTCAAAAACAATCTTTAACAACTTGTGTTTCCTTAGATTTAGTTGCAGGTTTAAATGTACACTTGCTCTTTTGTTTCATTTCAGTTATAATAATGATTTTCTAAAAAAAAAAAAAGAAAGAAAAAAAAAGGCTGAATTAGTGAATTGATATCTCTTCAATTATTAGTTCATTCAAATGAACTAATAATTGAAGAGATGTCATAATAGAAATATTTATATGTAAATGTAACGTCAAGGTGATGCATATATATGATTTATAACTTATGGGTCTCAAAATCTAGCTTATAGATCTATAAGTATTCAATGCAGTGTATCAAAGAGATCATGAGTAAATTTAATATTTCAGAAAGTTGATGGTGTCCTCACTGAAGATGCAGATGCATTTCTTTATGGAGGCCAAGTTATATACAAAAATTTAGATGTATTAAACAAGGCAAGATTTAGAGCATTCTTTGTGGTAAAGAACAACATGAACTCACAAACTTACGTTCACTGTTTTTGAGTAATTGTTCTCAGAATTAATCAAAAAAAAGAAAAAAAAACTATTGGTCCAAAAACATTTCTATCAGAAAGTGCAGATATACATGTACAACTTGTAAAACTTTCTATTTCAATTATTGTCTCTTTTTATAGCATGAATATGTAGTTGATATCTATGACATGAGAGATATTGAAAATAAACTTGAGCTGACAAGGGAGACGTTGGTTGCTATGGCAATGCTGGTTGGCTGTGATTATGACAAAGGAGTGCGAGATATTGGAACAGAGAAAGCTCAGGAATTGTTTAGAGAAATCAACCGCAATCAGCTAGATCCATTAACAAGGTAAATGCAAGACACTGATTCAATGTTGTGTGAAGAAAAATGTGATGGCTGTATTTTGATTTAATATGAAAATGTCAAGAAGAGATTCCTTCTTAATGTGTGATGTGGAGAAAATGACTGCATATAAGTCAAAGATTTAAACATTCCTCCTTCAGGGTAACAGGTTGGAGAACAAATAATGAACTGGAGAGGTTGTCAACATCAACAGAAAAAAGAGAGGCTCACTGTAAACAATGTCAGCACAAAGGTAATATGTCACCACAGTGTTTAATGGATAGCTAAAAGTTATGATTTTTTGTTGATAAGTAAACTTTTTTCTGCAATAATCATTCTGATTTAACTCTGACAAACCTTGCACTGATGATATATGAGAATGTTCTCCTTTGTTTGGCTTCTGTGAATTATTTAAACTAATTTCTGACTTATCTGAAATTCTACATTTACCAAATTTGCAAATATATATACATGTTGTATAGATTAGGATGTCTGTGACAATTCTTAATGATTCTGGATGAATTTTGGCATTATGGTTCTGCATGTGACTTACATCGTACAAAAAGATTCTGTTAAAAAGTTTTTGACTTGCTCTGCTTTAAAGAACACAATACTCAATTAAATATAAGTCCTACACATGACTCAATGAAAAACAAGTCCTACACATGACTCAGTTAAAGACAAGTCCTACATATGACTCAGTTAAAGACAAGTCCTACACATGACTCAGTTAAAGATAAGTCCTACACATGACTCAATTAAAGACAAGTCCTACACATGACTCAGTTAAAGACAAGTCCTACACATGACTCAGTTAAAGACAAGTCCTACACATGACTCAATTAAAGACAAGTCCTACACATGACTCAGTTAAAGATAAGTCCTGAACATGACTCAATTAAAGACAAGTCCTACATATGACTCAGTTAAAGATAAGTCCTACACATGACTCAATTAAAGACAAGTCCTACACATGACTCAGTTAAAGACAAGTCCTACACATGACTCAATTAAAGACAAGTCCTACACATGACTCAGTTAAGGTATGTCACTCGTCAGCTTTTTAGAAAAGTTCAGGCAGAACCTCTTACTTCAAAACTATTTATTAAAATTCCATTTTCATAACATATTTAAATGAAACAATGTAAATTGTTCAACATTCAATAAAAAAACTGCTAAAAAATTCATGAAGAAGCAAAATTTATGAGGGACTATTTCTTGTGGTGGAAGGATATTTAGCAGAAAATTCTGCAAACCAGCACATTTATTAAATTTAATATCTTGGATTTTTAGCCTCACATACTTTTACTCAGAGAATATTTTCCGTTATGATATGCTAGGAATATTAAATATAGGTCTTAATTTATATTTTTATAGCAAATTTTACACCTTCCCTCAACAAACTTTGCCGAGAAATGAAGATATATTAAAGAAGTCAAGATAAAATTTACACAGTTTTTGACCTGAAAATCGCATATTTTGACCAATATTTCAAAATTTACATCACTGACCCCAGCTTTTTCTTTCATTATTTAAAACTACTCGATACTTGTGACTGATCAGCACTCAAGTCGTAAAAAGTTTGATACAAGAAAATATTTTATTGCCCATTTAGATTTTTAATACCCCAAATATGTTACTTTTTTAGTGCAAAAAGGTCACACAATAATTTACGTGCATTAATTTGCAAGATTTGTTCAATGATAAATATTATTCAAACTATTTTACGCAAAATAAGATTATATTTATTGCCATGGTTACATCTGATAAAATATGATAAGGGTTAAAGTGATTAACCAAAGAGTTAAAATTTAAGTGCAAAAAGGTCAACTTAATTGTACCGTAGCTCAGTCAGATGCACACTGACCCCCTGTTTTCTCTGCGATTTTGAGTCATACTATATGAGTACTTATCCAAAATATACTTCTCAAAAAATCCTTGATATAACAAATTTCACGAGTGACATACCTTAAAGACAAGTCCTACACATGACTCAGTTAAAGACAAGTCAAACACACTAATCAAGTACAGACAATTCCTGCACAAGACTCAATTAAAGACAAGTCCTACATATGACTCAATTAAAAACAAGTCCTACACACGACTAAATTAAAGTCAAATCCTACATATGACTCAATTAAAGATAAGTCCTACTTCTGACTCAATTAAAGATAAGTCTTACACACGACTCAATTAAAGACAAGTCCTACACAATACTAAATTAAAGACAATTCTTACACATAACTCAATTAAAGATAAGTCTTACTTATGACTCAATTAAAGACAAGTCCTACACATGACTCAATTAAAAACAAGTCCTAAAGATAATCTGTATAATAATATGCACTACACATGGAATATTTTTCACTAAATGGCCAAGTGGTCTTATGACCAATTTTTTTAAAATGACCTGGGCCTAAGTACGGATGTTATATATATAAACAATAGAATGTTTTTCTTTCTTTTTTTTGTACTTGGAAATGCATGGATAAAGGTTGCAATCATTGCAGAAAAAAATTACATAACCTGCATTATCCCTGCATTAGCACACAAAGAAAGCATTTTATTGTTTAAGTAGCTTTCATTTCAAATAGAAGCAATTTGTTTTTTATGCAAACTACTGTGCAACGTTTTCTAACAACTGAAGGATTTTATTAAAATACAAATTTAAAGATTCACATTATAGATAATTTATTTTAAAAATTCAAAAAGTATATTTCTGTTGAAGGGACAAAGATCCAACATGAGAAAGAGGGATGCATTGATTGTAGTTCAAACATACCATGTGATCAAAGTTCAAAAGTCAAATGTTCCTGTGGAGGTGTATTTCATGAGAAAGAAAAATATAGACTGGAACTGAGATATTATAAAAAAAGCAGGAAGAATCAATCTTTTCCAAACATAAAGGTACAACTTAATATTCTTTTCTTTTTTTTTTTAAATAAATGTTAAGTTAATCCAATTTATTTGTTGCTAAAGTCTTTAAAACAATCATTGTTTTGATATAAAGTTTACACTTCTATCATTGAGAAGGGGAGGGGGGGGGGGTGTTGTTGTTGTTATATTTTGAAAGTTTTAATCAGTCTACACCCTGGAAATAATTACTATGAATCAGCACTAACCATTCCATTTACCTCAGATAAAGCTCTGTTGTTGAGATGATTTTTTTTTACACAGGTGGTTAATGAGTTTCTTCATGCCAATGATGATTTGAGAGAGACTAGCTTTGAATGGAAAAGAATAAATATTACCAAATTGAAAATTCAAGTTCCTTGGGTGGCTTATGAAAATATAGCAGAACTTCTTGTGCAGCTGAAAATGATAGGTTTATCCAGCTTCATGGATGCAGAATCAATGATTCGGCCTCTGAGGTAAGATTTTATTTTTAGTTGTTAAAAGAAGAGATAGAAATTTTAAAAAGTACAGATTTAAAGTGTTTTGTAATTATTAAATGCATGTATTTTCAGAGTATTAAAGGAATGCCAACAGAATTTTGTGAAGTGTTTTAAAGTCCAGTGGACCAAACTTGGTGAGTGAAAACAAATTTACCATAATGTGTTGGAGAACCTACATAGGTTTCTCTCTCTCTCACTAATGCAGCAGTACTCTACCATATATTGAACATTTAAATTGAGCAAATTTCTTTACAGCTGCAAAATAATGAAATTTGAATAAAATATAAACTGTTACATTTTAAACGAAAATCTACATTTTTCCTTCAGATGTTGACAGCAAGTCATCAGATGATTGTTATATATTTATTGTTGATCAAGAACCCTTTAAGAAGTTGTACAAAAGTGAAGTATTGAAGTATCAGGCAGAAATAGAAGAAGAAAGCAAAAGTAAAGAGAAAGAAAAACAGATTAGAAGAGGTATTCCATCTTTTTAGCTCTACTGGTCAGAGACCAGAAAAGATTATACGATAGTAAGATGTCGGTAATCTGTCCATATGCCTGTCTGTTTGTATATAATTTTTCAAAAGCTACTCCTCCTACAGTTTCAATATTACTTGGTACACAAGTACACAATACTAAGATACATTGTTCTGTTTATCGATTTTTGATTTTGACAAAATATGTTGCCATGATTAGGCCATTCCAAGTTTTTTCTATGTTTAGCGTCCGCATGCGCCTTGTTTTTCTGGTCAAAATCACTGAATTCTGTCAATTTCTCAAAGTATTGTCTATTAGGAATATAGTAAGCATTGAATACCTTGATTTTGCTGAAGAATGGTTTCTTTTCTACTATAATTAATGAAATCAAATCCTTTGAATGACATCATTTTTATGACTATAAAGTCTGTGTTTTATTTTTTGGTTTGTGTGTTTTTTGCGAATACATAGGTAGGTTTTTGAAAGATGGGTGGATGCTAAACAGAGAAAAAACTTGGAATGGCCTTACATTCTTTCAAAACAATACTCTTCCTACAGTTTTGATCCAATTTCAATAAGACTTGGTAGAAAGTACATAAGATACATAATTGTTTGCTGGTTTCTGATTTTAACAAATGGTCTTGCCATTGTTTCTAAAAAAATAGCATTATTAAATTGAATTGATGATTTTGTTTTATACTACATGTTTCTTTGTTTCTAACTTATTCAAGAACCAAAAAATTCAATGTTGATTACAGGCAAGAAAAGAAAGGATACCACGAGTGGAAAATCCTCATTAATGACAGATTTCTTTAAAGTGAAGAAAAAATCATCACCACCCCCACCAGAAGAAGTCAACCATGAACGTACATAAAAATTCAAGAAGAAATTGTAATTGAAGAGGTCAACATGAACCTACATAAAAATTATAGAAGAAATTGTAATTGAAGAGGTCAACCATGAACCTACTCCTACGCAATGATTTAAGAAATAACATCACCAACTCTATCAGAGGTTGTCACATGGTAATACTTAAGTCAACTATGAAACTACACAACAATTAAAGAATAAATCCTCACCACACCAACCAGAAGTTGTCACACTATATTGGATCAAGTCAACCATGAGCGAGAAAGAAATAAACAGAATCACCTTCACCAGAAATAATAACTAAGTCAACCATGAAACTACACATTGATTTAAGAAATAAAAATCATCACCACACCTCAGAATTTGTCACATTGAAATGGATCATCAACTATGAACCAACACAATAATTAAAACTTGTTATATATAAACTCAACTTTAATATTTGACATAAAGTCGATTGTTATTCATAATGATGTGATTATATTTGACTGTAAAATGTGACTATATACATGTTATTTTCCTTTGCAGTCATCTGGCAAACTTCTACATGTATATACATTTTCACAAAGAACTGAGAATATTAAACCATTCAAATTCACCAGAAATGTTACTCACAAGAAATTGATGAATTTCATTAATTACATGTACAATTGTATAATTTATTATAATAGCTGTTACAGTCTGCAAAAAAAGGGAAACATTTTTTTTTTCATTTATTATAAAATTTTTATATTCAGTATCTTAAAAAAATGCGCTTTTTTTCAACAAAATTATGTATTCTTATAAGAAAAATAAATAATACTTGCTTCCCTTACTAGAACACAATCGGATTCTTACCTATACAGCTCAAAAAAAATTAAACCTAACTTGCTTTTGTAAACTAATTAAATACATATTTTGGAAATAAATGTTGCTACTTAACAAAGTGCAAACAAAAGATATGTTGAATTTCGCAATTTTATGATAATTTTTAGTTTCACAATTGATAATTAATTATGTAGTACTTATTTGCTCCCCTGCACAAATAACAGCCTTATGGTAATTAGGCATGCTACCGACCAAGTTTCTATTGGAATTAAGCACTCACTATTGTGCTTTGCACATATCTTTATATTGATAAGTTGGCATATTTTGAGTCAGGTCCTATCTTTCTTACTTGACCCCAAATACGTATTTTGATTTTGGTTTGAGTCTAGACCGTTCGATGCAACAGAAGTGTAGAAACTATACTCTGAAAAACATTTTGTGCTTTATGAGTTCTACTGCTAAATACTTCATAGTTACAAATCATTTTCAGGGAAATAAAACAAGCATACAGGCTATGAACATCAAGCAAGTTTTTATACGCAATACATTTTCTAGACTAATGTAGATGGGAACAATCCTGATTGAATCTCTAACATTTAAAGAGGAAAAAGATTTTGGTAAAACCATGCTACTGATGGCTTAAAAAAGACATGTGGAAGAGAAAAAAAATTCTATAAAAACTCCATAAATAGCTAACAGTGACATTAAGATTGTTAGTCATAAAATGTATTTTGTTTGTATATTGTTGTTTGTCTATTAATCTCCTTTTGATACAACATAATTAATGCAAATATATAAATACTGTTAAATGGAGAACAATAGACAAACATGTTCTGACTATATATAAAGTCAGTGAAAAAGTGGGCATCGTCATTAGTGTATGGAGATTCAAGAAATTGTGATGACCCCCGTCTTTGAAAACAGCTTCTTACTTCATAAATACATACTTTTATTTAATGTAATCAAGTAAAGTTGTAGATTAGATGTTGACCATTCCTGCAATTAAAAGAAAAATGCTTGTCTCCTTAAGTGCAGTTGTCCTTTACAACTAACAAGATCAACAGAGCCCTGACCAGCCAAAGAACACTTGACCCTGAGTAATCCAGAATTTCACAAATCTGGTAAAATTACCTTTGCTCATAACAACTTAATTTGTACTCTGTTTGTCTCCTAGATTTTCAAAAAAATTATGCATTTTCACTATATAATCAAGACTCCCCTAACACCAGAAACCCTGACCCAGGGGCCATGAATATCACAGTTTGGATGTCATCCTTACTGATCATAACCACACAGTCATCTGCTAAATACTCAGGAGCAAAGAAGATTTTCAAAGAAATGGATGTATTTTCACTATAATCAATAAAGCCCCACCCTAACACCTGAGATCCTGACCCTGGGGCCATGAATTTCACAATTTTTGAAGAGGCACCTTTGCTGATCATAAATATGCACTTAGTGTGTTTGCTAAATACCCAGGAGCATGAAAGAAGATTTTCAAAGAAAATGCATTTTCACTATATAATCAGTAGAGCCCTACCGTAACACCAGAACACCTGATCGAGGGGCGGTGAAATTCACAAATGTGGAAGAGGCACTCTTGCTCTTCTTAATCATGCTCTTAGTTTAATTTGTTTGCTAAATATCCAGGAGCAAAGAAGAAGATTTTCAAAGAAATAATGCATTTTCACTTTATAATCAATAGAGCGATAACACCAGAATTCCTAACCCTGGGGCCATGAATTTTATAATTTTGGAAGGGGCACCCTTGCTTATAATAACCATGCATTTAGTATTTATTATGTTTGCTAAATACCCAGATGCAAAGAAGAAGATTTTCCATTTTTGCAATTTTACTATATGATCAATAAAGCCCCACTCTAACTCCAGAAGCCCTGACCCAGGGGCCATGATATTCACAATTTTGGAAGAGGCGCCTTTGATCATCATAACCATGTACTTAGTTTCTTTGCTTAATATACAGGAGGAGAGAAAAAGCTTTTTAAAGAATTTATGCAATTTCACTATATGATCAATAGAGCCCTACTCTAACTCCAGAACCCCTGACCCTGGGGCCATGAATTTCACAATTAAAGAAAAGGACTCATTGTTTGTTATAATCATGCCAACACTTTGACTGCTTGATGCGATCTTGGAGTAGAGAAGAAGATTTTTGAAAATTACATCAATTTTGATTATTGTGGTCCCATCCCTCGGGCCCCAGGGGCAGGGGCCATGACATTCACATTTTTTACCCCCTTTGCCCATAATACTCTAGATTAAAATGTTTAAATTGGTTCAGAAGAAGCTGAAAATGTTCAAAAGTTTACGAACGACGGACGTTGTGCACACGACGACGGACGAAAACATATTGCAATAGTCACTCAGGTGACCTAAAAATCTTCTTTTCTTCTGGACATCTCCTGGACATTAAGCTGTTAGCATGATTTAAATTAATATTGAGCCCTTTACAAAACTGTGAAATTCATGGCCACTGTGTCAGGGGTTTTGAGTTAGGGTGGGGCTCTCCTAATCATATAATAGTGAAAATGTATGCATTCTTTAAAAGCTTTGCAAACAAACTAAGTGTCTTGGTTATGATGAGCAAGGATGCTTTTTTTTTCCTTCAAAATTGTGAAGTTCATCGCCCCAGAGTTAGGGGTACTGGTGTAAGGTTGGGACTCTGTTGACCATATGGTAAAAATGCATAAATTTAAAAAAAAATCTTTTCCTTTTTCCATGGGTATTTAGCTAAAACCAAGTGCATGTTATGATAAACAAGGACGCCTCTTCCAAAATTTTGAAATTCATGGCCTCTGGGTCATGGATTAGGGGGAGGCTCTATTGTTAATATAGTGAAAATGTAGTATTTCTTTGAAAGTCTTCTCTCCTCCTCGGAATTTAGCAGATACACTAAGTACATAGTTATGATAAGCAAGGATACCTCTTCTAAATTTGTTAAATTCATGGCCAAGGGATTTGGTGTAAGGGCGGGGCTCTGTTGATCAAATAGTAAAAGTGCATAATTTTTTTAAAAGAACTTCTCTGCCCCAGGGTATTTAGCAAACAAACTAATTGCATGGTTACGTTGAGCAAAAATGCTTCTTCCGAAATTGTGAAATTCATGGCTCCAGGATCAAGGGTTCTCATGTTGGGGGGTGGAGGTGCTCTATCGATAATATTGTAAAAATGCATTATTTCTTTGAAAATCTTCTCTGCTTTTCGGTAGGTAAACTAAATGCATGGTGACGATGTCTCTTTCAAAATTATAAAATTCATGGCCCCTGGGTTAGGGGTTCTGATGTTAGGACCGGGCTCTATTGATTATATAGTGAAAAACATTAATTATTTGAAAATCTTCTCTGCTCTTGGGCATCTAGAAAGCCAACAGAATACAAAGTTGTTATACCCAAGGGTGTTTTTACCAGATTTCATAGTTTTAATGGTCGGACAGGTTTGTAAATAATGAATAAAAATGAGATAAAAATACGTTATCTTTATACATTACATTTTTTTTTTCAAAGATCAAGAGAGACCGAATTGTGAATGAATGTGTAGAATTGATCTCAAGCACTATTACAAATGTTTAGTCTGCATAATGATAGTGGCAGATGAGAGTATATTGGTACTGGCAAGTAAATATATCTACTTTATGATTTATTATTGAGTACTACACTAACTACATGTATCTTGTTGAACCCTGATTATCCTATTTCTCTTCCTTTGGGACAACACATCTTCATCTCTCTGTTAATTTTGTTTCATTTCTTACTTCAGTTGATCCTTTACAGCGTTATCTAAAACTCAGGTAACTGATAAGGCCCTTCGGCTCTTGAACCAATATAGGTTGCTGACAAATAAGTTGATGCTACAGAGATTTCAACTGCATTTTTTTAGAGTCAGCATTTCGTAAATTGTATGGTCTTTATAATGGTGTTAATAGAAAATATAACCTTTTATTGCGTATTTTGACTTTCAATTTGTTCTTCATTTCTTACATTAAAGTTGAAGTTGAAAGTTGACATTAAAAAGATGCTTGAGTTTCTGATTGACAATATCTATGTGGTTTTTGGAGACCAGGTCTTCCAACAATCTATTGGAATTCCCATGGGTACCAATTGCGCCCCGTTATTAGCAGACCTTTTTTTGTATTCATACGAAGCAGAATTTGTCCAAAATCTTATACGTGAAAAGAAGAAAACACTTGCTTTGGCCTTCAACTCAACATTTAGATATATCGACGACGTACTGTCAATTAACAATGATTATTTCCATTCTTATGTCGATACGATATATCCCGGTGAGCTTGAGATAAAAGATACTACAGAGTCTGAAACATCTGTTTCATATTTGGATATATTACTTGAAAAAGACGTTAATGGTAATCTAACAACCAAGCTTTATGATAAACGTGATGACTTTAACTTTTCAATCGTCAACTTCCCTTACTTATGCAGCAATATACCTTCATCACCTGCATACGGGGTTTATATATCTCAGTTGATTCGATACGCAATAGCATGCTCTACGTATGTACAATTTCTAAAACGAGGTAAATTACTGACAAACAAGTTGATGAAACAAGAATATCAGCAGTCTCGTTTAAAGTCATCATTTCGTAAGTTCAGCAAATACAATTTATCATTGAGTCAAATGCTGACTGACGTTTTTCATACTTATTGTTAGGCCGTTATTTACACTCTGAATTGTCGACGGATTTTCCCGTTATTTCCCGATCATGACAAGGAGCACACGGCGAGAGTGAACGGTCGGCAGGGGATGCTCACTCCTCCATGGCACCGATCCCACCTCTGATGTTTTGGAGGTCCGTGTTTGCTCTGCACCTATTTTGTAATGTTTAATGGACTTTTGAGCATGAATACTGTTCGTTATCTCCATATATTTCATTACAAGATATTTATTGATTGATGATTTTATAAAAAGTTGCATGAACTGCTCCTCAGCATGGGCATGCGTAAGACATAAAAACAAACGTATTGAGTTTCCAGATATGAATGATTAAAAATTGTAAAAAGTTTAAGAAGAATTGAATTGCAAATGACACAATAAAATGTTTTGTTTTTGTTTTTTTCTGCAGTTCACATTAAATGTGATATATATCTACATGTATCACAGCACTGATCAGCATTATCACGTGACAAAGATCCAGGGTATCATGCAGCACGTGAACTTTGTACGTCCTATATATTTGTTGCATTTGTCTTTGAATGAAATAATATATTAACACCGTAAATTAAAGTCTTAAAAAATACACGGGAAAGTAAAGCAACTCTAAAAATATATCATAGACATGTACTCTTCTACTTGGAATTTTTTTGGACTCTTTCTTGTGGAAATACTTTAAAATGCTAAATATATTTTTAAGGCCGACTTGATGCTTTATATCAATTTAACTTGTCTTCACAGTTTACATTTGATATTTTATATAGACAAAACACAAAAGCTGGACGTGTTATACAGATCCAGTAGCAGCAGTTGATGTTGTTTTTTTTTAGCAGTACGATGTATACAGATCTTTCGTCAGAAAACATGTATACAATGTTCTCTCGAATCTTATTTAAAAACACATACTTCACAGTATTTTATTGCCCTCCGCTTTTACATAAGGCTAGGGATTTTCATAAAGGGCATGTCTGTCAATCTGTTGAACTTGATTTTACATTAATTATCTAAATTAAAACGTCATTGTCAATCTGTTTGTTCGCCAAACTGTTTGTCTGTCTGTCTCTCTGTTCGTCATGCTGTCTGTAATACTTTTGTTTCAAGGTGATATATATGAAAGTACTTAAGTTTTGCGAGGAAATTTCATATAATAACTTTAAAAAATCCCTATTGTTTTTGAGATCAAGACCACAAATTCATATATGAAATAACACACTGTAGTTTCGGGATTATATTAAGCCTTTGTAATGAAATGTTTGGTTAAAGGTCAATGTTCATATATGATATAAAATAGTCTCTGGATTCATTCAAACATGGTCCCAGTTATTTCTGATGAGAAAGGACCAAGGTTAAGGTTATTTTGTTTAAGCAAGTGACATGAATTCCTTGAATGAACTTGTTTCACTTCACATTATGGTTTTGAACAATCTTCCATGCTTGTTTAACTATTAAAATATTGTATAATCTCTTACTTACATTTATTATGAACAAGTGATTGAAATTTGATAAATGAATATATTTACATTTGCAAATGTTTTCCCTTATATAACACTATTTGAACAAGGCGTTTTTACACCTGTGTAAAAACAGGTTCGTCATGTGACCAGACATTGATTGTTTAGTCATAATCGATCTACGTAATATCATAGTGACGTCATAAGTGATCGACGTGTTCAACGCATTCAATTTATACCGTTGGGGGTGAAAAAATAAATCAGTTTATCGGTTTAAAACAATAGGACCCAACTATTCGTAATAAATCAGTCACAAATGTAAATACATGTATAAGAAATAAAGTATCATTTTAAGCTTTTATAAGGATGTAAATACGGGTTGGTCATGTGATCAAATCCCATAAAGCCCGATTATATTAAGCTTTTGCAATGAAATTTCATATAGTAAATTCTTGTTTAAAGGTCAAGGTTCATATATGATATAAAATGGTGTCCGGATCCATTCAAACATGGCCCCCGTTATTTCTGATGAGAAAGGACCAAAGTTAGGGTTATTATCTTGTTTAAGCAGATGACATAAATTCCTTGAATTAGCTTGTTTCACTTCACATTATGGTTTTGAACAATCTTTCATGCTTGATTAACTATTAAAATATTGATGTATAACCTCCTATTTATATTCATTATGAACAAGCGATTGAAATTTGATAAATGAATGTAAATATATTACAGAATACGTTAATGAGTAGAGGAAAAATGACTTTTAATTAAATAATCAATGTAAAACCAAGTTCAGTTTCTTTATTTCATTGTGCCATACGACACTTCAGAATACATGATACATACAAAGATATCGCAAGGTATAAAATTATGATAGTGAGCATAAATGAAAAAAAAATAGAACGTGTTATCAGTAATTCGTAATAATGAAACTTAAAACTAATACTGCATTCTCCTAATGGAGACTTGAAAATATTTTCCGAGATAACAGAGTCCCTGTACATTTTGTCTCTAATAGAAGTTGAACTAATTTCCAAATACTAGTTTCTTATTCACTGTAGTAATACTTTAAAAAAAAAATATTTCAATCAGATCTAAGACATACTGATTATGTAATTTTGACCATTTCATCGGGAATCTCTCCTTAGGAATCATCACTGGTCCTAGAACAGTTACATATGTGCTTCCAGAATCCATCCCATCTTGACATTCTCTACCACATCCAGAGTATCCAAAAATGTGTCCTCGATCACGGAACTGATATTGTTTGGGGGCAGTCTCTTGTTTCTCTGTAGCACTAGCTATTACCCAAGGCCTGTTAAAAGAAAACGTTTGATGAACACAGTCAAAGGGTTTAAGTCCAAGTTTGCCACATATGAAACAAGAATATTAGCAGTCTCGTTTAAAGTCGCCATTTCGTAAGTTCTATGGTCAATACAATGACCTTGTCAGCAAATACAATTTATCCTAAAGTCAAATGCTGACTGACGTTTTTCACACTAATTGTTAGGCCATTATTTACCCACTGAATTGTCGACGGATTTTCCGTTATTACCCGATCATGACAAGGAGCACACGGCGGGTGTGACCGTTCGGCAGGGGATGCTCACTTCTCCATGGCAACTAATCCCACCTGTGATGTTTTAGAGGTCCGTGTTTGCTCTGCACCAAAATTTGTATTGTTTAATGGACTTTTGAGCTTGAATACTGTTCGTTATCTCCATACATTACACTTTCCTCCTGAATTGGACTTGGTTTAAAGCCCTATGTCCATGGAATAGGGTTGTTTATTCATTTGGAGTTTCCTGTAGAATGCGGGTCTTTTTGTAATTGTCGAGGATGGAATGTATCTTGCCTTCCAAAAATATTCTGTACAATTATATGCAATTTTTAAAATGTTTACACCACATAAATAATTAACACAACATTTGCAAAATATCTATGAAGTCTGACAAAATATAATTTCATTCCTCAGTCAAATGTACACCATCCCTTCTGATAAGAGTTCTGTTTTACCAATAATTTTTTTCCCTCCCCTACCTTTCATGAAGGATTCCAAGTTCTTTGTAAATGATCAATTTCTTGTTTTCTCCCTGGCAGCCTTCAATTTTGCCCCCAAATCTTCTTGATAGCAGTTCAGTATACATGTATATGCTGATCATTACAAAGGACTCATGGCGGAAGTGACCGGTGTCAGTGAGGGATGTATCTGATTCCACCTCTGGAATTTCCGGGGTCCGTGTTTTATGTCCTGTTTACAGATTTGTATTGTTTTAGTTTTTTTTTTTTAGATCGATCACTGTTTGTTATCTTCACCTTTGTCCTATATGTACAAGGACTGTTATTGTTATGTTGAATAAATTTTCTCGCAGTGTAGCTTAGATAAGGAAAATGATGCATGCATTCAAGAAGAATGTGACTTAGAACATGTCTCAGCTATTTTGTCCCAAAATACGATGTTTCCTTGGGGGTCATGAGGATACTCAATGTAGGACTGACTTTCTACCAAGGTTAATAGGGACAAAGGTAATGTTTTAGCAGACACGTGTCGATACATAATCATGAAAAGAACATTTTTTCCATTCCGGGTATAAATACTCTCCATCCTTGCCATATTGAATTCAAACATACACCAGTAAGAGTTCAGGAAATGGTTGGATAGAATTATGATTGTTTTGCGGCTCTTGCAAATGGCGTCTGTAATGTTTGCTGCAATCTCTGTACCAGGAAGGAAGTCCCTCTTACTTAGGCACAGGCGCAGTCCTCTTTCTTCCTCTAACTGGGAAATTGACTCGTATATTGCAAAGTCACTGTCTTCATCAGCGTGGGATATAAAGGCATCAAAGGTAAATGTGTCTTGACATATGGGGCTAGATAATCGGTATTTGTTTTTTGTCATGTAAAACAAGTAACGTAGTTTCCATCGGTATCTATAAACCAAACCAGTAACTATAATAGTAAGGAAAAACACAATGGCAGAAGAAACTGATAATATAACTAATTGGTAATCTTTACATTGAACCTCAAGGATTCGTAAAACCGACTCAATGTCCTGGAAACTGAAACTTGTTCCATTATCTAACTTGCATTCCATGTGTCGATAATCCGAAATGTACATGCGATTTCTGAGAGACCAATGTAGGAAATGTTTGGAACTGCATTTACACGCAAAGGGATTATTGGCCAATAAAATTTTCAAATCTTTATTCCTTTTTAAAATTTGTGAAAGTGATTTCGTTGCATCGTGGTTTAGCTGTTTTATTTGGTTAACAGAAAGGTCAATTACACTAAGATTCCGTATGTGGCTGATTCTAACTGTCCATTCCGTTAGATAGTTGGATCGTAATCTCAGTTTCTGCAGATTTCGTAGATTTTTGAATATTTTGTCAGGCAAGAACTGTATTCGATTGTCAGATAGGTCCATCTCTTTAAGATTCACTAGGCTTTTAAACGTTACTCCATTCTCATCATCTCTCAAACTAAATCCTAAAAGATTATTGTTAAGCTTTAAAACTTCCAGTTGCGTAAGAGAATCAAAGAAGAATTTTGAAATATAAGAACAGAGACATTCTGACAAATCCAAAGATTTCAACACGTTAAAACCCCTTAGTGGGCCATTGAAGCTTTTCATTACGTTTTGCGACAAGTCAATATGTAAAAGCTTATTCTCGGGATTCACATTAACGCCAAAAAGTCCTATACGTATACTGCTCGTTCTCATTATAAGAGTCTGTAGGTTTCTTGGCACATGTACTCGCCATAACAACGAAATATTTTTGTGGCCAATGGTAAACCTTTCTTCTGTGTTTTCATGAGATCGTATTGGATTCTCACAATAAAAAGCCTCAAATATTTCGTGCATTGGATTGGAAGCCAACTGGAAAGACAAATCCAGCTTTTCCATGCCAGTCAAATAGATGACATCCAGTACATAAGGCCCAATTGTTAATTTATTATTGGCAATCGATACAAGTTTAAGGGTAGGCGGTGTGTATTTTAAAGCATGTCTTTCTATCAGAGCTAACCTATTTTCGTCCAGATAAATTTCTTCAAGAGATGTATTTTGAAAATGCAATATGTCACGGATTTGTAATACTGTACCTATTCCAAATGTACAGTGAATTTTGATGGCTTTGAAAACTTTTATATTAGAAAATTGTAAATCACGTGATATATTTGGAAAACTTGCAAACGTAAGTCTTTCATTGTTTGAAATATCAAAAATTGTCAAGTTTCTAAGCATTATCAGAGCACCTGCTTCAAAATGTTTCAATTTGCAAGCGGACATGTTCATTATTTCTAAGTGAGGCATATTTTCAAAGTAACTGTCGCTAATTACTTCTATTGAGCAAAATCCAGTCAGGCCTGATATATCCAATTCCGTAAGCTGAGTCAATGAGCGGAACTGTGGTCCAAATTCTACAGTTGATATAACATCAATTTTTAGGGTCTTCAGTGAGTAGAGAAATCCCCACATTCCGTACGGAAATCGGCAATTTTGTACCTGGATTGAATTATTCTTAATGTTAAAAACTTGTAATGCCTTTAAGTCTCGGAAGATTCGTGGCCTGTAAACGTTTTCGTCCAGTTGTAATCTATTTCCTTCTAGGCTCAGTGTTTTTAATTTTGTTAAGTTTGCGAATACATCGTCTGTAAAGTTTTGAATTCGGTTGTAAGAGAGATCCAAACGGACAAGTGTGGGACTAAAGGGTGCCATCAGGAAAGTGATACAATTATGATCTAAATTTAGACTAACGACATCCGGTCCGGTTTTTGGTACCTCTGTGATTCCCAGGTGAGAACAGTTTGCTAAAATAGTCATGTTTCTTGTTGGGATACAGTCGCATCTAGGGTTGGATGTACAATGACTGGAAACTCCAGTCCTCAAAACGGCTACAAAAGTAGCAAACAACAGCGTGGACATCTGCCAAGAGATTATGTCATTCAATATTTAGCGTTATACTCTTTGTGGTGGAAAATTATTGTATTTAAATAAGTACTGTTATATTACATTGATTTCATGTTTTCCTGTTAGTGAATTTTACATTTATATGCATTCATTTAAAAATATAATAAAGAATATTCGTTAAAATGCCTTTTATACCAGTATTTATCATAAAGGTCGGCTTAGATGAAAAATTTTCACTACAAATTCAGCAAATGAGAATGATTAGAGACAAATATTCCGTGCACCATACGTTTACAATACAAAATCTTTTCAGTACAGCAATAATGTTGCGTATTTAGAATCTTAGTTGATGGGATTAAATATGTAAAGAAACTCACCCAGCTGTAATATTCCATTTCACTGGCAAACAGTATATTCTGTGATAATGTTCTGAAAAAGAAAAAAAAGTCATGGTTAATATTGTAAAGTTAACCAATTACTTTTTGACGTTATGCAATATATTCTCTGGAGATATCACAAGTTTACAAAATATCACTACATATTTACCTGTTCCTCACTCTGAGAGGAAAAAAGTTGACAAGTATCACTTCCTTATCCTTTCCTCAGAGAATCATTTTTTTTCTTTATCACTTCCTCATTGTACAGAATCAATTCGTTTCTTTTTTTAAGGGGCTCACCATTCACATGTACTGGTATTAGATCCATATTATATAGCTTCCGCCATAGTACATAATACAGCATGTGTAATTACAAGGTAAAGTTATTACCATTGGACTTACTTAATTGCAATTAATTGCAACAAGTTATAATGAAAAAAATTGAAGATAACGAACAGTAATCGATCTCAAAAAATCTTTAAACAAAACAATTTTGTAAAGAGGGCAGGGAACACGGACCCCTGAAAATTATAACGACCATAGAATTAAAAAAAACAGGAAGCATCCATCAGAATTCCAACAGTTAGATGGAAGACTTGGTCTCCGAAGACAACATAAATGTTGTCAATAAGGAACCCCAGCATCCTTTTAACATCAACTTTAGAGTACTTGTGTGTAGAATCAGAGTGATTTTTCACAAAGTAATTTTGTTGATAATCAATTTTAAGATACGAAAAGCTCCATTTTTACTGAAGAAGCGGTCGTCTGTGATATCAAAGAGCCTAGTTTTTTTTTTAATTTTATCGAGAGGAATGGTTGTATAAAGTGTAGAAAGATTATACGTTTTGATTTTACTGACTTTTGAAAATTTTTTGGATTTTAAGTTTTCTAAAACTTCTTTTTAGTTTTTGAGAATCCACATCTGATTTACATCACTTCAGGAATATGCTGTAACACAGTACGTCTAAGTTTATTCAGCAGTTCATATTTTTGTAAGGTAAGGATAGGGGCTTAGTAGATCATTTGCTTGACTCTGCAATGTATCTCTATTTTTATGAAGTTTAGGAATCCAATATGTGTAGGGTAGATCGAACTCACCTTGGTTGACTGAAATGTTAAAAGTTTTAAATACTGAAATATGATTTGAGGAATTTCATCTTTAGAAAGTAAACAGATTTCATGGCCAAATTTAAGTGAAATTTCTTTCATCAAATGAAAAAAAAAAAATTGGACGTTTAAATAATAATATGGGTTTACTGACTGTAAGGATTTTACACACAAGTACTCCGTTAATATTAAAATTCTGATTGACAATATCTATGTAGTTTTTAGAGATCAAGTTTTCCAGCAATCTTTGGTACTAATTGTGCTCCGTTATAAGCAGGCCTATTTTTGTACTCATATGAAGCAGAATTTATTCAAAAACTTCTACATGAAAAAAGAAGTAGCTTGCCTTGGCCTTCAATTCGAAATTTAGATATATCTATGAAGTTCCATCAATTAATAACATTGATTTTCATTCCTAGATCGATTCCTAGATCGATTCAATATCTTCCATTAAATTCTAAATAAAAACACTACAGATTTTGACACATCAGTCCATGTTACATTTGGATAATTTACTTGAGAAATACATTAATGGCATACCTCCAACGAAACTTTATGATAACCGTGATGACTTCAACATTTCTATGGTCAACTTCCCTTACTTATGTAGCAATAAACCCTTATTACCTGCATATGGGGTTTATATCTCCCAGTTGATTCAATAAACAAGAGCATTCTCCGGTACAAACAATTTCTAAAACGAGGCAAGCTACTGACAAATAAGTTTATGAAACAAAATATCAACAGTCTCGTGTAAAGCCATCGTTTCGCAAGTTCTATGGTCGAAACAATGACCTTGTTAATAAATGCAATCTATTATTAAGTCGAATGCTGACTAACGTTTTTTTTTTTCAAATTGTTACGCCATTATTTAAACACTGAATTGTCTACGGATTTTTCCGTTTGCCGAATCATGACAATGAACACACGGCGGGTGTGACCGGTCGACAGGGGATGCCCACTCTTCCATGGCACCTGATCCAACTCTGTTGTTATTTAGGGGTCATTGTTTACTCTGCTCCCGATTTGTATTATTTTAATGAACTTTTGAGCTTGATTACTGTTCGTTATTTCCATATTTCATTGATTTATAATGGATATACTAGTGGATAGACATCAAGAGAAATATAAAATTACGCACACTCATATTTCTCCAGTTATATGTATATGTTTGCTTAAGTATGTAATAACTTGATCCTCATCAGAGGGATGTCTAATCTTTTACATCAATCGTCAAGCTAGAGAAAAAATTCTCTAAACCTTTTAACTTGAATTTAGAATGATTATTACCATTCAATTGCATATTTTTTAACGAGTAACAGAGTAAAAAAAACTATTTAGTTGATATTCGGTATGACCGAGCGATAGTCGTGTACTTGAATATTCGTTGACATCACTAAATACCAGTCCTGGGAGGGGGTAAGAGCGGTCAGGGTCACGTTTAAAAAAAAAACAACTTACGACTAAGACCTACAATTTTTGTTGTTTCTAATAACTTGTGTACCCAACAACTAAGAAATGACCTTGGACCCCCCCCCCCCTCTCTAGGAAATATGGACACCTTGTAAGTAAGTGTCATACTTCGCTTTATAAAGTACAATGAACATTTCACAAGTTTAAAAAAAATAGCAAGTCTAAGAATTTTACATTAGCATTGACAAAACTTGTACATTTTACACAAGACAAGTTATGTTGGATAGTTACAATTAACAAACTGTGATAGAACAATTGATAACTTAACTTACATGTATGATTTAAAATCTTGAAATTACATGTGTACATTTTAAAGTTATACATGCCGTATCAAACACAATTTTTTGTACAGCTGGAAACCAAGCCCATTTTATAGCATGATAACCTGAAAAAAGGAGCTTTCATGCGAATTCGACGAGTTATTAATCGGTAGTAATAAAGTACTGGTCTGGGAAAAAGACGATTTTATTATGCATATTTATAAAGGCTTGATGTGTGTGACCTGTCAACCAACTACCCTGCAAGCTCATAGTTAAATATGAAGTTTAACTCCCCCTTCACATAATTCCGTCACTCAAAATGGTTGCCAATAAAGATGTTTCTCTATTCCGTCCCCTGTCTCCCTGTCTTTTCTTTCTTTAATCATTGAATGCGTAAACTTCCATCAATAGGCCGTTCACGCTTTCGCTTTCGCGTAGCTATTTAGTCTACTTTTTAAATTCAGCTTGCAGGGTCACGTGATCTTGAATAATTCAAAAAGAGGCGTTTATTATCCGACATGGAGGATAAATAATTTGATATCGATTATTTTTAAAAGTGATTAAGTGGAAATGACTTATTTGCAGAAAGTAGACATTCGTTTCTTTAAAAAAAAAATCCAACTAATACAGCATATAGAGCTTTAAAAATGACAGAGTTGGAATTTTGAACCCGTTAGCTTTCCATATATAGATATCAGTGACGTTTTCATGATACTTGTCGCTCCTTTAATCGCTATCTAAATATTGTGATTATTTACAACGGAATATAAATAACAGTTTTTAAAAATCTACATGTATATAGGAGAATTTGACATGCTGCTTACTGCAACACTAGTTATACCCACACTTTCTAAAGAAAATTAAGGTATATTGTTGTTACTCTGGTCCGTCCGTCTGTCACACTTTCTTCTTCCTCGAACTCCTCTTTTATTTTAAGCAGTAACCAGTTAATCTTTTGGAATATGATAAGTGGTGTCCAGCATGTAGATGTGCAAGAAAGTTTAAGAATTTTTAATTTTACCCTTCTGGCCAAACGGAGATTAAAAAAAATGACGTTTTTTGTACAAGAACCTGGTTTCCAGAACTCCTCTTATATTTATGCAGTTGCCTAATCATCTTTTAGAAGATGTTTTGTGGGGTCCTTTAGATATGCAACAAGGTTTCAGTATTTTCATTTTCACCCTAGGGGCGACATAGAAGTTGAAAATTACATTTTTCGGGGGGGGGGGGGTGTCCCTAAACTCTCTTTCATTTAACGCAGTAGCTAAATAATCCTTTGAAGATGATTCCTGGTGTCCTTTATATGTGCAATAAGGTTTTGGAATTTTCATTTTCACACTGGGGGCCAAACGTGGGTCGAAAAAACGACATTTATTCTTTTAAAAACCCTGGTTCCCAAACTCCTCTTACAATTTATACAGTAGTCAAATGATCTTTAGAATGATGGCGTCCTGTATATGTGCATTAAGATTTCGGAAATTTCATTTTCACCCTGGGGGCCACATATCGCACATCTTCAGGACACTCCCATTCATATTCAAAAAGATGAGTTGGTTACTGCAAAAAAATATAAGAGGAGTCCAGAGAAAAAGGTTTCTGTAAAAGAAAGTCGTTTTGCCCCCCAGTCACCTCCAGGGTGAAAAATCGAAATATTGCACATCTACAGGACAATCCTAACCATATTCCAAAAGATGACTAGGCTACTGCAAAAAATTCAAGAGGAATTCAGGGAACCAGGTTTTTGAAGAAAAAACCTTTTATCATCAAAAACCTTTTATTACCCCCTTTTGGCCCCAGGGTGAAAATGAAAATTTCAGAAACTGCTTTGCAAATGTTCAAGGCACCTCCAACTAAGTACATTTGAAAAGTTGAGTTGGCTACTGCTTAAAATGTAACGGTAGTTTGAGGAAGAAGAAAGTGTGACAGACGAACCAGGATAACAATATACCCGAACCTCCTTTAGAAAGTGCGGGTATGATTAAAATTTCCATTACAAAAACTGAAGGATGGTGTTGACAATTAGACAACAACCATATGTCATGTCATGACTGGTGTCAAGTTCATGCAGATACAAAAGGTAATTAGTATACACGCATTTTGCATGCCATTGTGAAAATAATCTAGTTTTTTTCCGTCAACTTTTTTTCTTATCCCCCCCCCCCAACTTTTTATCATATCATCCAAACAGGCAAAAGTTATTGAAAACGTAACTGCCTTACAAGTCGGCTAAGTATTAACAGAGTCCATAGAACACGAACGTCTATAACAGACACCAGAGAACACACAGGCCTACGATTAATAGACAGTCACACTGGCCTACAATTAATAGACACCAGAGAACACATAGGCCTACAATTAATAGACACAAAAGAACACACAGGCCTATAATTAATAGACACAAGAGAACACACAGGCCTACAATTAACAGACACAAGAGAACACACAGGCCTACATTTAATAGACACATAGACACAAGAGAACACACAGGCCTACAATTAATAGACATCCAACACCGGACAACACATAGGCCTATAAGTAATAATCAAGAGACCATAAATCACATCTAGGCCTACAAGAAACAGACAGAGTGAGACAGACACCATATACTACATCTAGATCTAGGCTTACAACAACAAAAACAAAAAAGTAACAGACAGATACCAGCTGCAGGGAACACATCTAGGTCTTCAAGTAATAAGCAGAGTCCTGAGAATAGTAATACAAGGATGAAAGTAAATCATATTCAGGGCAGGATTAAATTGGATCATTTTTTCATATACATGTTGAAATGTGTCTCAAGATGATTACCCCCTCCCCCTTTCCCACAAAATTACAAGGGAGAGGAAAGGTAAGGGGGATCCAATCATTCATACTTCTAACATTATAGAATCTTCTACAAAATATTTCTTTGGGGGATTTTTTTTTGTAGGAAACTTCACTGAAATTCATACAATACAGCTTGATTTATGTGTAGATTGACAAACATACAGAAAGTCAAAGCTAAGTGTACAAACCCTCTACAACCGAAAGAGGCAATAAAATTTCATGTACTAAAATCACATTTATTTCAATTAAAATTGTTCAAATGCAACACAGAGCATATTAAAGCATAGAAAAAAAAATTGATGTAAATATGCTTTTTACACATCTATAAAACATAAAAATATTTGTTCCTGATTTAAGTACACACTGAGTACAAATTCAAGAAGAGAAAAATATATCAATGACACATGTAACATATTAGCCCTCAATACTGAAAAGAGGATTACTTTTTTATTTAATACATGAGATAAAATACTAAAATTGAGAAGATGGAGCCTCAGATGCAGGGCATCCTCAGGGATAGACATTAACTTTTAGATTCACTTGTCCTTCGGGCAAGTGATCTCAGACTTGGACTTGTCCGAATGCAAAACTTGGTTGCCCAAAATTAGGGAAGAAAAATATTATTTATAACTGTAAACTGAGAAGAAAAAATGTGACTAAATACACTACTGTCAACTTGGCAAGTTGAGCTACATAAAAAAGTAATTTCGATGCTTCGTTTGTACATGTGTATCACTGTCCTTGTCAATTTAATATGTTAACACACTGCAATTCAGCATTATCCCTCCGTTTTCTTTTAATAAACTTCATATCTTTAAAAATTAATTTCCGTAGAATCCTTTTGTGAATCGTGATTTTCAGAGATAACAAGCAACAGTAAAGGAAGACAATTGGTATGAAACATACATATCTGGATTGGGATACATCGTGTTACTTATATTCTGTGAATGAATTTCCCAATTAGAAGTTAACAAATTTGTTATAAGTAGAGCGTATTTATCACGAAAGAAAACAGAATAATGAACCCGATTTTTAAATGGTCCGTATATTCTAGAAACGCTACCAAGGATTTCCTAATGTAAATCAATGTCAGTCAGGTATCTGGCGGAAATCAAGTATTCAGTTTATTGTTTTATTCATAAATTAATGTAAACTGACTAAATATGTACATTTCTATAAGAAAAATTCACTTGCCCGATCAGACAAGTACATTGACAGTTTCACATGCCCGAAATGAGGATTTACTTGTCCCGGGCAATCGGACAGCCGTCAATGTCGATCCCTGATCCTACACAATTTTTTGGGGGTGGCTTGGAACTTAGATATTTCATCATTTATGACTTATGTTTGACTCGTTTGCACTGTTTAAACAATATAGTGTATTAAAAAGAAAAATAAATTTAAACATTGCTTTTCACCTAAAAGCAACTAACAAATACTAGTATGTAAACATTTAGAATGAAAAAAAATACATTTTTTTATTTTAAAAAAAATACATTCATTTTGAAACGATACTTATTTGACTATTATAGAAGCATATCATAATTGGCACACAAGTAAGTTTGTGCAACTTTAACACCCTTCTCCCCCTGTCCTAAATTGATGACATGCTCTTTTTGTACTTTTAAATACCCTACTTTAGTGAGGAGACTGGATACATTAGGTAAAATTAAACAAAGGTTAAAAAAATACGGTTACACAAACTGTGAGAAATACAAGACAATATTGCACCAAGAAACATCAAATAAAAAAAAAGAAACTTTGGACAATAAATTTGATTTCAAGGTTAAAAGTATGGCAAACAATGTGTGTTTCATCCTCTTTGAATCACATTACTGTACTGTTTGTCTTGTTCTGAATGCACACATGCAAAACTCCAAAGTATTTATCTTCTTAGCTATCAGCTCCTCTCTACCCTGACACCAGGGTGTAGATCATGCTAAAAATATTCAACAATTTATTTTTAATGTAACCAGGTTAAACAGTTTATCATACATTTTTTCTGGGATTAAAGCAAAAATGATAAAGCTTCTTTTAAGGTGGTGTGCCACACCAAAATTTTAATTTATGGATGTTTAAAGTATCTCTTTTGAAATATGAATTCATAATTGAAAGATCAATTAAAGCTCTTTATTTTATTTGATTTTATTCATTTTTTAATGTCTTTTAAATCTATGGATGAACTCCTCAGGAAACAATTTACACTTAGAAAGAAATATCAGACAGTCATGTTTAAAAAGAAATTGAAATGATATTTAAAAAATTTAAGAAAAGTTGCTTATTTTCAATTTGCACTAACCCAAACTAAATAAAACTGATCCCACAAAATAAAAATTCTACAAATTACTGATGCAGTTACCATGGAGGAATCAATTTGATTTAGTAAAAGTTCAATTATTTTGAAACCAAATTCAGCCAAGCAATCAGGTATTTTTTGAATTTGTTAAATATTTCAAAATTGTATAATTCCCATCGGGATTAATTTAATTTAGATTAGAATAGGCTCAAATTTGAAAATAATTGATTTTCCTTAAATTTTGCAATTTTGTTTCAATTTAAATTATGATTGTATATTACATAATTTTTCTAGACGTTCTTTAAAATAATGTTTCTTTGCCCTCTCCCAACTCATAGTGATAAAACTGGGTCAGTAGGTAGGTGGGGAAATTTTTTCCCTAGAAAATTTCAACATCAATATTGAATTTTCAAAATATATTAAACAAACTCGTTGACAGGATGAAAAAATTCCAGAATGAAAAGAAAAAATAACCGTTTCCTGGAGGTAAAAAAAAAGTTTTGAGTTGAGCCATTTCAAGCCAGTCAGTTAGGAGAGGGCAAATAAACAATTTTTTTTAAAGATCCCCTTATAAATGTAAAATCTTTCCTGAAAATTTTACACATAATTTCAAAAATATTAATAAATTATGACTTTCATATTCATAAATATTTTTTTTTAATGAAATAGGTAAAATGTGTTAACTGTCTTCTTGACATATCTTACTAGATACATATAAATTATAAGATTTTGTGAAAGTTCCATTGAATTTCATTCAGTGGTTAAAGTAGGAGTTACATCAACAAAATGGGTATGATTCCCTTTATGCAGTATAATGGCAAAGTCCATGTTTTGCTATGGGAAACCCCAAATATCTGTCTGAACAAAACATAACATGGGAGGTACACAATGGCACAATGAATAAAGATTCTGTGAAAATCTCATTAAATGTTATACAGTGGTACAGAAGGAGTTGCAGATAAAAGATGGATACCCTCAGTGTTAAATAAAGAATAGCAAGTTAGAGTTTTGCTATTGGAAACCCCAAATATCCTTTTATCAAATTACAGAATAGATATGCATGATGGCACCATGTGATAAAGATTCTTTTAAAGTCTCATTACATAATCAGTGGTAAAGGAGGTTGGTACCCCAATATTATAGAAATAATGCAGTGTGCATGTTTTGGGAAACCCTAAATATATTTCTGATTGAAATAAGAAATACAGGAGGTGCATAAAGGCACTACGTAATGAAGATTCTGGAAAATTTCATTAAATTTTACTCAATGGTATAGTAGGTGTTGCGGATAAGGGATGACTGCCCCCAAGTGTAGTGGACAAATGGACACCCCCTCAGTATATACCTCCCACAACAAACCCGTCTCATTTTTCAAGTGCTTATTATTAATAGCTTATTTCAGATTTTCAGTGAAAAAAATCATATTTCAAAAAGAGATGCTTTAAACATCCAATAAATAAAAATTTGGTGTAGCATACCTCCTTCATTATTAAAGAATATCTATCAAAATATGTTAATTTCTGAATCTGACACCCCAACAAGAACTACCATTCTCTACTCTGTTACCTTAAGATAAACACTCTAACAGCTACTGGTTTATAAGCTGTAACCCTTACCCCTCCCCCTACTATGTTTCTTACCTGTACAGGTAATAGAAAAATGAGATGAGATAGAACGCTAGCTTGATCCACCCTTCCTTCTGGGCTCTATTCAGTTCATCAGCATTCATGATTGTAGTAGGGTCATATAAACCTGGCCCACTCATAACTGGTCGGTTTATATACCTGAAAGTTTTTCAACAAGTTATTATTTCTTTCCTTCACTAAAGATAGGACTATTTATTTGTAAATCAACATTAAAAAAAAAGAAACTCTAAAGTTCTGAGTACCAAAACTAATGAGATTTAAATTGTCTTGGAAAAAGCAGTTTACAAGGAGCATCAGACTCCTTACAAAAAAATACCGTTACTCATAAACATTCTCACTTACTTTGCATCAAAACAAAAAGGTCCATAAATTTGGCTCATGCCAAATAACATATATAAATTTAACATTTCCTTAGTAAATTAGCCATTTAAAATGCAGATTGGCTTATAGACAGAAAGAAGAACAATTGGAATGACCAACAGTGTCAAGCAATTTAAACCGAGGGGCAAAAACAGCTAAAATTTGAGGCTTTTTACAACACCCATCCTCTTCCACACAGAATTAATATAACTTGAAAAAGGGGACCAATACACAAAACAAAAACAGGGCTAGACAAATAGGTTACCCAATGTCCAGGACAACCAATTTTGTTTGACGGACAAGTTTTTGATAAGTGGTGCCTGCCCTCGGACAGTTGCTTTTCCGAAAAAAAAAATCATTTGTGTTACTGCCATTAAAATAACTTACGATGAATCAGAGCAGAGCACCTGTTTCACTGCTGTTGATCACTACCTCAAATACTCCTCTAGAATTTACCCATTCATGTGTTGTTAAAATATACACAAGAAGTAAAACATGAGGGCTATTGATGACATATAAAAAACAAGAGGTCCATGTGCCACATTGCTCACCTGAGCACATTAGCTAGACACAAATCAGTTCAGTATTGAAAAGATTACTGGGGGTTGGGGGTGGGGGTTGAATTTTAAACTACCTGATGATGCTTCCATGTCAATATAACAAAATGGCTTTGTTGTACTTGAGAAGATTTTAAAAAATTTTTCCCATATATTCCTTTGTAAAATTTTGATCCCCCATTGTGGCTCCTCCCTATCCCAGAGGTCATCATTTGAACAAACTTGAATCTACACTACCCGAGGATGCTTCCATATCAATATGACTAAACATAGCTTTTCTGTTTTTGAGAAGAAATATTTTTTCTATGTGTTCTTATGTAAAACTTTCGATCCCCATTGGGCCCCAAACTACCCCTGGGGGTTATCATTTGAAAAAAAAAAATGAATTTACACTACCTGAGGATGCTTCCATATCAAAATGACTAAACATGATTTTCACTTCTTGAGAAGAAGATATTTTCCAATATGTTCCTATGTAAAAAAAATTTGATCCCCCATTGTGGCCCATCCCTATCCCCGGGGGTGAAACTTGAATCTACACTACCTGAAGATGCTTCCATATCAAAATGACTAATCATGGCTTTGCAGTTCTTCATCAGAAGATACCTTCCTATATATTTCTATTTCAGAAATTGATCCTCCATTGTGGCCCGCCCTACCCCAGGGGGTCATGATTTGAACAAACTTAAATCTATACTACCTGAGGATACTTCCACATAAATATGATCAATCAGGGCTTTGCTGTTCCTGAGAAGATTTTTAAAGATTTTTCCTATATATTTCTATGTAAAACTTTGATCCTCCATTGTGGACCCTCCCTATCCCCCGAGGTCATGATTTGAACAAACTTGAAACTACACCACCTGAGGATGCTTCCAAATAAATATGACTCATCATGGCTTTGCTGTTCTTGAGAAGAAGATTTTTAAAGGTTTTTCCTATATATTTCTATGTTGAACTTAGATCCTCCATTGTGGCCCCGCCCTACCCCCGAGGGTCATGATTTGAACAAACTTGAATCTACACTACCTGAGGATGCTTCCATATAAATATGACCAATTAGGGCTTTGCTGTTTTTGAGAAGAAGATTTTTCAAGATTTTTCCTATATATTTTTATGTAAATTTTGATCATCCATTGTGGCCCCGCCCTACCCCCGGGGGTCATGATTTGAACAAACTTGAATCTACACTACCTGAGAATGCTTCCATATAAATATGACTCATCATGGCTTTGCTGTTCTTGAGAAGAAGATTTTAAAAGATTTTTCCTATATATTTCTATGTAAACTTTCATCATCCATTGTGGCCCCACCCTACCCCCGGGGGTCATGATTTGAACAAAATCGAATCTACACTACCTGAAGATGCTTCCACATAAATATGAGCAATCAGGGCTTAGCTGTTCTTGAGAAGAAGATTTTTAAAGATTTTTCCTATATATTTCTATGTAAAACTTTGATCCTCTATTGTGGCCCCACCCTACCCCCGGGGGTTATGATTTGAACAAATTTGAATCTACACTACCTGAGGATGTTTCCATACAAATTTCATCTTACCTTGTCCAGTGGTTCTTGAGGAGAAGATTTTTAAAAGATACCATTAATTTTTCACTAATTCTTAATTATCTCCCCTTGGAAGAAGGCGTGGCCCTTCATTTCAACAAACTTGAATCATCTTTACCCAAGGATAGTTTGTGGCAAGTTTGGTGAAAATTGGCCCAGTGGTTCTTGAGAAGAAGTCGAAAATGTGAAAAGTTTACGCACGACGCACACCCGCACGACGAGATAGCAATAGGTCACCTGAGTGACTCAGGTGACCTAAAAAGTTGAAGAGGATTTTAGACCTTTCTATTGTCAAATTAAAAATTCTTGCCATGAATACAAATGTGTTATTGATATTAAAACTGGAGGTATTAAATGGTGAACAAACACAGTTTGTGAAAACTGCATGGAGTTGCTCAATTGGCATGCAGTAGTGTTTTTCATAGTAAAATTATAAATGTAGATATTTTAGGGGTGGAAAGATACAAAAGTTATGCTAGTATATGATATGTATCTCAATACATATAGTAAGATACGATACATGTATCTCGATAGTATGATAAAATTAGAAAACTATAATAAACTTAGTATTTTATTTGTCTTGACAAAAACCAACAAAATATTTTATATCAATTGAAATCACATGATTGTGGTTTTGAATCAATACTTATATTTCATCATTGACTAAAAATTCACAAAAACAATTTTACATGTATGTATTGCCAAATGTCTATAAACAAGTTGAATTTTCTAATACATATATGTATGTAGTTCATCAATATTATTGACTAAAAATTCATCAGAAACGTCAAATGTACATTTCAATAACCATGTTAAGTTTACAAAATAATTAATCCACAATTTGTTGAAAAATTTTTAATTCTTTTTAATGAAAATAAGGGAATCCATACTTTGTTCCAAGCTCTTAGTGCCACAGTGGACACTAATAAATAACATTGCTATACCTTTAATTGGTTCCTATATAAATCTATACTAAAAAAAATCTAACATTTCCAATGTTTTACTGAGCGGTCATAAATAAATCGATGTTTGATCCCAGAATAAGATACTGGACCTGTTGGTGAGATATTGGACTGCTTACGTCACACTGTGGGTGGGATCAGCTAAATCTTATTTGCATTCGATGGTTTTCAACAGTGACAGAATTGACCAAGTTTTACTGCAGTGCGGGTAAAGGAAATTTACATCATGGAAGCCAGCACAAGATACATGTATTTAAAAAAAAATTGAATACCGGTATATAAAAATAAAAGGTATAACAAAACATTTATTGACTATGTTCTCGGGCAAAATGCATTTTGTCGACCCCTTGATCTAAACTGTTTGCCTAATGGCCTCATTCAAACAGTTTGGTTCTTGGGTCAGATGTGTATCACCTGTTGTGGAAAAGATACTTTCTGTATATAACGTGCATTACAGACTGAACTTTTCTAATCTCATCTCCCAAGGATGCTAAAAGGTGAAAATGTTCCCCCATATCTACAACTTATTAGAGCTAAAGCACATTTTCAATATCAATATCATCTCTTCACTTTGTAAAGTTCGATTACACGTCGCCATTTTCCAAGACTACTTTCATTTTCAATTTTTTGATAGGTTGTATGTGCATCATTTTGTACTGATATATCAATGCTTCTACAGTAAAACTCATTTAGTACGAACACGGCTATAACGAATTTATGGATATCACGAAGTTTTTTTGCAATCCCTGGTGAAATTCTTAACAATTCCTTGTAAAATATTATGGATATAACGAACTCTAATATGATGAATTTATGGTTATAGCGAACTGATTCTGTGTCCCCTATAAGTTAAAAATAGTGAAATTTACATCTTTTATAGCGAATTTTTAAAGAATCTAGTTTTTAAAATATTGACCTGACATTAACTTTGTAAGTATATATATTTAGAACACTATTCATCTGAAAATTTTTGAACTCCAAGGTAAATTTTATATTTTATACTTCCCTAAATACATTTGGTAGTCTTACTTCAAGGAAAAAAAATCTATATTGCAAAGTCGCTATGTATACTTCAAGGAATTTGTTATGCGGATATAAAATTATGGATATAGCGAAGTAAATTCTCAGGCCCCCAGAACTTCGCTATAACCGAGTTTTACTGTATCGTAAACTGTATCTTAGCAGGAAATATTGGTATGTATTGGTGTATCTGTATATTTGTCCCACCTCTATTTGATATGGTTTAGATTGGTTCTTGCATAGAGTCTCAGTTGAGAAATAATTTATTGTTAATGATAATGATTTAATTTTGTGTTATAAGTAATTATTTGATGGTAACCTGTCCGAGGGCAAGTGCTACAAAATTCTATTTGTCTACCCTTGAAAGTGTCTACTGTCTTCACAGAGTTAGTCACTGTTAGTCAATCAATGCCTCTTGTTTCATTGTAATATAATACTAGTGATGAATAATCGGAGAAAAATCATAATCGATAATCGGTTGCAATCGGAAACACATAATCAATTGATAATCGGCTATATCATAATTATATAACTTTGTGAAATCCGGTAATCTGATTGGTCAATATGAAGTCATAATTTTTTGATAATGACCGCTGAAAGCGAATATTGACTCGCACGAGCTGTCTCGTTTTCACTTTCGCTTCGATCAAATATGGCGTCGAGAGATACGAAAGCTCGCAAGTTTGTGAGTTGTAGTGAGGAAGATTTAAAAGATATAGTGAAGAACTCTGAGGCTGAGAATACGAAACGATTAACAAGAATATCTGTTAACATTTTCATTTTTCGGGCATACTTACTTTCTAAACAAATCAGTGCAGAATTTGAAGGCCTAACATGGAGTGTTGGTAAAATGGGTAGGCAAACCCGGGCCGGGGCAAATTAAAAACCGGGGCTGTTCAGGATTTTTCAGTTTTCCGTCTTAATACTTTATCAATCAAGCTGAAATTTTCAGATTATGTTTGTTATATGTTTATTTTTATTCGTTGTAAAATTTACCTTGAAATACTCGGTATTTCAGATTTTATCGGCGATTGTTGATTTCCAAGTTGGTAAAATGGGTAGGCAGCAGTAAGCCGACATTTTACGATTTTTTGGACATATTTGACAAAAAGCTAATAAACTTATGAATTATTCTAATGTTTAACAGTATATCTAAACTATTTTTAATTATTTCTTCCTTGAAATGTGTTTCTGTTGAGTAAACTAACACGTTTTTAGAAAAACCGGGTCATTAAAACTGGATCCGATCACCCGGGACAACTACGAAAAATCCGAAATACTTGTTTATTACTTTTTACTATTGTCACCTGAAAAAAAAAAAACTCTATTCAAGTTATTTGTTGGATGTTTGTATTTAAATTTTATTGATATTGAAAATATTTTAAGAATCTTGACATATAATATTATTAGGGGTGAAACGATACACCTCCTTCACGGTTCGATACGTATTGTATAATTTTGTCTCGGTTCGGTTATTTTCGATACGATACATTTTGATAGAAGAAAACAAATTCAACGTTGTTTTATGCTTTCTTTTTCTAAATCTAGTAACATATTTTACGAGTTTTATTTGCAAATTGACTAGAAGAAATTGATTAAAATTATTTGACGGTCAAAAATTATTTTACAAGCTATCAGTCATAAAAAATTTACGTTTTCTATACTTATTTTACTGAGTAATGTGTTTTACCTTATGCCAAACCCGACTGAATAACGATCCCGACCGAAAAATGAACCGAACCGAAAATTAGAGATTTTGCACCGTGTATCAAACCGAGAAAAAATACCGCGGTGAATCGATACCGCGGTGAACCGTTTCACTCCTAAATATTATATGGATATTAATACAAAGTCTTGTGCCAAACTTTAATCATGTTAATCAAACATAATTTAAGCTGCTTGGGATAATAAAAGTGGCTTGTTATGTTCATTGGGGAGAGGAAGATATAAAGAAATTATGTTGATGTACTTAAATACTACCAACGAGTCAAGAGCTAGACAATACCACAAAGGTGTTGGCTTACAACCTCAGAGCCCCCTATGAAACAAGGAACGGCGATATCATTATTCCGGAATTTTCAGGTTTGTCCCGGTTGATCGGATCCAGTTTCAATGACCCGGTTTTTATGAAAATGTGTATTTAAGCATAAAAAAAAGCATTTCCCAGTAAAGAAATAACTATTTCTAGTTAATACACATTATTAAACATCGGAATAATTCAAAAGATTACTTGTTCATTGTCACATTTGTCAAATTACTCTAAAATATTGACTTGATACTGCCTACCCATTTTACCAACTTGGAAATCAGCAACTGCCGATAAAATCTATACTACTGAGTGTTTCAAGGCAATTTTTACAGCGAATACAAATAAACCTATATCAAACATATTCTGAAAAATTCAACTTGATTGATGAAGTATTAAGACAGAAAATCGAAAAATATGGAACAGCCCCGGTTTTTAATTTGCCCCGGCCCGGGTTTGCCTACCCATTTTACCAACACTCCCTAACATGTGAACAACTTGATCATCTGCTGCTGAGATTTTATGTTGAACTTCGGAATAACAAAGGGGAAAAGTACAAAAAAAAAAAACAAAAAAAAAAACAAAACACTCTCTTACCATATCGTCAGGGTATACAGAGATTTTTGCAATGTATTCCACCAGACGTTGACATTATCAAGGGACCACTATTCCGAGAGTAAAACAAGTTTTTTTTAAAGGTAGGACTCCCGATTTTCAGAAATATTTTCAGCTTATATTCATTTCATGAATTATCTAGTCATTGAGCATACTCATTTTGGTATTTGTTTATGAGATATATTTAGAGGATTGAAAATTTTATTTATTTTTTAACAAGAAATAGGGATGACAATGAAATTGAAGAGGCAGGGGCAGGCTACCATATAGTTAGAATAATAGACCACCACCCTCCAATATCTGATGCTGACTTAATAAAAATGTATGACTACCTTTCAAGCTCTGACTCGGCTCAGGTGTTGCAGCATTTGTGATATCAATTTTTAATATATTTATTTGTTATTCATGTTGTGATAGATTTACAATTATTGTTATTGTTAATTATTAATATGATTTCTGTTATACATTATGAGGACTGTTGCTCAATGAAAGGAAACTCTGGTTGTTAGTTTTGGAAGTAAAATTCAATAAATTCTGAAACATTTTCATTCAACTTATTTATGGTTTACAACAACAGCATATCACTATCTCTGTAAACATTAGGAAGATATTTATGAACTAATAAATTTGGGAAATTATATAATATAATAAATATGGACTCAATGCACAGTCAATATGCATTTATAATGACCCAGGATGACAGATATTGACCTCGGATACATGGAGAATATCGACCTCGGGCTAGCGCCCTCCATCGATATACTACATGTATCTTCAGTCAATATCTGTCATCCTGGGTCATTATAAATGCATAGTGACCTACATTGAGTCCATATTTGTATAATAATAAGATTTTTTTACCTTTCAAATAAAATAAGAGATTCCTTAACCAGGGTTCTCCATAAGGGGTTTTACCATGGCGGCCCGCCATGGTTAAATTTATGAGCGCCATGGTTAAACGAGCTGCGCCATGGTTAAAATCGGCGGCCGCCATGGTTAAATTTTTGTTGCATTTTAGTATTTACACCTACTTTTTAATGACTTGAGTAGTTAATTGTGTTTATACTACGACTGCCATGCATCTGGCATGCCTCGAGGGAAAGCGGAGTGTGCTAAACAAACACGGTCGCTGATCGGCGACTATGCTGGGAAGCGTGACAATGGAGGGTCAATCAGCTGAAGATCAATATCTTGAGAATTAATTATCCTGTAGTACCAGTCTAGACGAACTCCAAAAACAGCGTTTCCGGAAGTAAGAAATTGAGACTGAAAAAGACTCCGAAAATAGAGTCCGCGCATGCGCACACACACAAAATATGGCGATTTTTCGCCAAAAATGATGGGTCTACAAAAACTGTCCATGCAAGGTTTTGGAAAGTATGGCAATTATGCCAGTACTCAGAAATTACAAACATGTAATTTCGGGAAATTCCAACGTGTTCACTATTTGATAAAAGATCATAACGAGCAGTAGGTATGCCCAAAAAAAAATGAGCCCTTTCAAAATTTCCTATTCTTTGTATATAATCAATTCCTCATGCTTTGTTTTTAAGTATTAACTTTATTATCTTTCTGATAAAATGTACGTAAGTGCCAATCCTCGTCTTAGTTTTAGAGTTACCTCCCGTTTTTATGAAACTTTGGCGTGGCACTATTTTTAGCACGGGCACGTGGAGGAATAAACAATGGAGGAAACTCAGCGAAAATGCAATATGTAGAAAAAATAACGTTTAGAGAAAGACAGAATAGAGAAAGCAAAATTACATTAATGCAAATTAATGCCCCTGGTTGTACTAAGTTACTTTTACCATGTATACCACCAGTAAGTTTTCATAGATCATGCAGTTAAAAAAAGCTTAGGCATTAGTAGGATGTCGGCTTTCGTTTGTTTGTGTGTCTGTTAACTTTTTTTTAAAGTACTACCAATTCATCAGTTATTGTCATATTTAAATAAAACTTTTTATATAACAGGCAACGTCAATTCTGTATATCAGTTTTTGGATACTGTTGCCATGGTTACTCTTTCAAAATATTATTTTGAAATTCCTTCAAAATGTTCCTACAGTTTTGGACCAATTTTGGTACATTTGTAGAGTAATTAAGATACATAATCCTTTTTATTTTTAATTTTTTAGCTAAAAAATTATTGGTTATTTCAACTTTTTGTGCTGCAGTGGTTAAGTTTTGTGAATTAACCAATCGATTAATGAAGGTTAGGAAGTCTAACATGCATTCGTGTTTTTGGTCGCATTGCGCCTTCGCGCAGCTTCCTCCGTGGTTAAATTTTCAAATGTGGAGAACCCTGCCTTAACATGTTAAATCATAATTATCATAAAAACAACATTTGTATCTTTGTTCTATTCAGAGTTTAACAAGTATAAATAAAGTCAGTTTATTTAAATAAACAAAATAATTTTTCAGTAAATTTGTTTTATGAGAAGGTATTCTAATTATTTATTTTCTCTCAGTAAAATTGAAAATAAGAGTTTAATTCCTGTAGGAAGCTTCATTTAACAAATAAATAACAAGTTTAAAAACTTCTCTGGGAAATGAAGTGGGTCGGCCACGTGATCAAATCCTGTGAAGGCCGAAGGCCTTCTCAGAAGATTTGATCTCGTACCGACCCACTTCATTTCCCAGTGAAGTTTTTAAACTTGTTATTTATTACTTATATATACATTTGAGACGACAATCGAATATAAATATTGCACTAACTGTTCGTCGTAGATTTGACAAATTACGCAAGGTGTAAATCGGCTTGAAAAGTGGTTACGCTTCAAATTCATCTGGCAAAGGATTCTGTTTTGAAGGGACTATTCTAAGAAAGGCTACTTGTGATCAATTATAGTGAGCATATTTGTGTCTGGGAATTTTTGTATTCATGAGAACCCATATTCGATGTTAAAAAAATACAAGAAAAACGTCCAATGTTTGATAATTAAATGTTGGAGGAATTTCGGTCGGAAAGGGATGGATGGAGACACTTCTCCGGACTAGTTTACTTGAAATCAAGTATAAAATTGGATCAGAAACATAATATCTACGATTTCAGTAAGGCATATTTATTATGATGTTGACACGGAGACACTGGTGACAGCTTACATTGTAAAGACAACGATCTCGATGATGAAGGTGTGTCTACCGAACTTCCGAAGTGCAGTGTTTGTCAGCTTTTGTGGCGTGATTCTATTACATTGATATTTTCCAACAGATTTTCAAATTTATTGTGAGTAAAGTTTAATGAAAAAAAATTATAGCATTCAGAGGTCTACAAGAAAAATAAGGATAAACGTTGAGATTATGCAGCTCAGACATGAAACTTATAACAGGTAGTTTTCTATTCTCTTTGTAAAATCGATCAAGAACTGTGTTAAATACTCGTTTACAATGTTAATAAAATGATTATTATATTACTTGCGTATTTTGTACATTTTTATACATGAAAAACATGCTATATTGCTAAGTAGAGTAAGTCTTTTTATGTAGATATTACTGCGCCGTGTGATTAGGTCACGTAATGACCTATGACCTTCGAAAAACTTCATACAGGTATGAAGATATTTGCTCTCTGTATGTTTATATAAGAGAGAAATACCACAAATGTATATATTAAAAAAATACATGTATACAAATGGGAACATTACTGATATTAGTTACACCTTCTATTACCAGTATTCATTTTCTTGGAATTACTTTGTGTAATTTCAATTCTGACTTAAAAAATTGTTATTAATTAAATTTATAGAACGTTTGTACTGTTTGTGTATTTCTGATTATAGTAGAACCCATAACGCTGGCCAATTCCTCTTTATAGCCTGACCTTACATTCAATCATGGCGGTAAAAATTGTCAACAACAACCATGATTAAACTTTGAAGTGAAGTGAAGAAGGTTTTTACCTTTTAAACATTCAGGATAACTTTTTTTACTTTCTGCAAATGTTTTTTTGGTAATAAAATTTGAAGTTTACACCCAAATTAATCCCTAATATTTTTATCAGCGATGTCTGAGACTTCACTTTCATAATCGATTAGTAGCATCGAAGAGCTCCAAGCGATCCACAATCTATGGTCAGCGACAATCATTTCATCACTATATAATACCAAATTATGTTCAACATATTAATTGATAGAAACTATGTTACCTTCTTATATGGTAGACGATAAGAGGAATATTGATGATGACAGTAAACCATTCCATGGCTGTGATAAATAGGAATGTGAACAGTATGTGGATGAAATACTCAGGCAACACAAGCTGAAAATAATGAACAAAGGAACCAGTACATCAGTACAATTATATAGATTAGTACAGCTGCCAAATAATATTAAAGACTTGTTTAAAAGTTATATACTTCATGTACAGATAATTAAAAAAGTTATTTAAGATTTTAATGTACAGAAAGATTTTGATAAATCAAACAATTTGAAGATCTATGAAAGTACTGAAACATATGAAGAACAAACTTGTCCCCTCCTTAAGATTACTCACGGGGTTTAAACTTCCACATTGATCTATTGGATTTTTGTAGTCTGTTTTAAGTTCGTCAAATGCAATGATCTGTTAAAGTGGTAAATTAGAAAACAATTATTATAAGTGTGACATAATCAGATACAAAAACTTTTGCAACAACAGACATTAAACTTGACCATGAAAAAACTATAATAAAAATAATAAAATACCAGACTTGTTTTTAATTGTTTGGTATGAAAGTTAAAATTCGAGAATTTGGATTTTTTTATTTTGATCTTGTATTTTGTAATTATGTAAATAAAAAAACAACAAAATAATTATGAAGGAAATTCGAACGGACCTCTAAAATATGCAATTGTTACACAAGATATATTTTTTCATGAGTAGTATAACCAAATCTTACGTGGAAAATTGCAAAGAAGATCAATACTGCTGTTAAAATAAGAGCTAAAATATAGCAAAATGCAGCAAATGTGAAAGCCATTTTCCAAACCGTGAAACGGCAACCGCAACTTCTCGTTCGTTTACCCGGAAGTCTATCGCAAAGTAATTTCTAAATTAAATACCGTAAGAATTCCGAAATGGAAAAGAGGGTCATCCCCTTCTTTTCTTGTTTGTAGGGATTTTTATGAAGTTTATCAATTTAGTATATGTTAAATATGGTAATTCATTTTGGTTGTTGGGAATATAAAAAATATTTTAAACTGACATGATTTTGAAGAATTTCCTCCATAGCAAGGGAGCTATAGGTATAAATTGGATTACCACTTGCAGAACTAAATCCCTGTTTCTCTGAAATACAATTAAATTATGAGTCTTACAAACAAGGACAATGTTGTTACCTGATTCATGGCCGTAGGAACCGGGGGGGGGCACGGGGAGGGATGCTCCCAAATAATTTTGCCGAGATATAGACATAGCTACTACATGCCTGTGCCCCCTCAATAAAACGTCTGATGACCTTTTTTTTCTTCTTTTCTTGTCAAGGAACTTTTGATAGTTGATAGTGCCCCTCCAACTGAAAACTGAAAACTGAAAATGTATGGCTGTGCGCCCCCCCCCCCATCTGAAATTGCTTCCTACGGGCCTGTGCTTTGTCTGCTGGGACCAGTAAAATCTGTCTAATCAAGTTCTTTTTTTCACTTCTGAATTATTGAAGACAGAAGGATAGATTATTTTCATATTGCCCCTCAATCGCTTAATGCGAGATTTTAACATCCATCTGATACATTTAATTCATGCTGACAAAGTGTCTAGGTTTTCTTTTTTCATGTTTGGCCCATCGCCTGGCGTAATCTTCCACAGAATTCATAATGATGCCAGTTGAAAGATCGGGGTTCCCTAAATTTTGGCCCTTTTAAAATAAGTGATTTAAGGTCCTCATTTATTAACTATATTTACATCACCAGAAGGACTAAAGTTGTAGTGTGAAGAAGAACATGATCACGTTGGGGGATTATGTTTCAGATGTTCAATATCTAAGCCCTATAGAGTTTTCTTGTAATTAAAGTCAACTAGAATTGACAAATGCAAAACAACCAACCATTATACGGACGGGTATATATTGCTGAAAAAAAAATTGAGTGAATGCAAGATCAAAAATGTATTTAGAAGAGATTGTAAATAAAGTACTATGTAGTGCAGTTGTTTATTTATTTATTTATACCAGTATTTAAAAATTGTCTGATTTGAGAATTCTAGCATTGACATTTTAAAATTTTGATTTTCACCTAGGGGCCAAATAGAGTTCGGAAAAGGACGTTTTTCTACAAAGACCTTGTTCCTTATACATATGTATACTGGTAAATGTGCAAAAAAAAAAAAAAAAAAAAAAAAAAAGTTCTGAGTAATTTGAACAAACCAGATTCTTCACTTCCTGATCAGAGGATTCTTCCCTATATGTCTACTCTTTGCTATTATAAAGAAAAAATTAAAGGTTTAATCTTCCGTACATATTCCTATGTAAAAACATGATCGCCCATTGTGGCCCCACCCTACTCCCGGGAGTCGTGATTTGAACAAAATTGAATCTATACTATGTAATGGACCTTTCACAGAATTAAGTTTCAATTTTTCTAAGCTATTGGTTCTTAGGAATAAAACGTTTAAGGATTTTTTTCTTACATATTTCGCTATAAAAGCTTTGATGGCATACATACATCCCATGCCGGGGTCATAATTTGAATAAACTTAAATCTACACTATATAATAAAACTTTCGCATAAGTTTCAACTTTTCTAGTTCAAAAACAGTAAGATACCCACCCCTAAACCATATACATGTATAGAAATATTCTCTTGGGTAAGAGCCCAGGGGTCATCCCAACCCCCACCATTTTATAATTGTGTAAATAGCTTTAAAATGATTGAGATCCCTACCCATTAGCCAAATATATTTTCAATGCTCATAACACAATGCATAGAATACCGGGTTTCTGTAATCACCTTCCCAAAGATGATTTGGCTACTTTGCAAAATGTAAGAGGGAACCAGGTTTTTGTAGAAAAACATCGTTTTTGACCCCCATTGATCCCCAGGAGGAACATGGAAACTCTGAAACATTATTGCACATCTTATCATATTACAAAAGATAAATTAGTTACTGCTTAAGATAAAAGAGTAGTTTGGGGAAGAAGCATGACAAACGGACGGACGGATCTATCCTGATAACTATATACCGTCCCGAACTTTCGTTTTCCATGTTAATGCTTTGAACAATAATATTTTTCCATATAGTCAGGGAACTACGTACACTACTCCCTGATAAAACGGAAAAAAACTTTGTTCCGACGAGGATGGGATTCGAACCCACGCGGGGAGACCCCAATGGATTAGCAGTCCATCGCCTTAACCACTCGGCCACCTCGTCATGTTTAACCAAATGGTAAATGTTCAACAATTAATTAGCAAAATTTCGTAGTAAAACACGGTTTATTTTTTCATGCAAAACTATTTGTTTTTGAAAAGAATGATAGTGATAATGTTTTCTATTGCAAATTGCTAATCAACAACAAAGACAATGTGGTTATTTGCAAACCGATCGGGATCAATATTCTGTAAAAGTTGTTCATTAACCATGTTGCAATGTTGTTGACAAGACCGAGAAGACGAAAGTAGAGTGGTATATTTTGTTTCTTCTTTCTTAGTGTAAGTAGTGACGCAATAAGAAATCTAAAAAGAAATAGCTTAAACTAAAAAATGAAGTGTAGAGATATTGCGAATATAATTATATATAATCATGTCATAAGAACAGTCTAGACAGAATCTTATAATATAAGCATTTAATTCAGGTTCATCAAACCCGACAAAATCTATATAAGTACAGACTTATATATATATATATATATATATATATATATATATATATATATATATATATATATATAGTAAAAATAATAATAATATGTGACGAAGCCACCGTTAGGGCGAGCGCAGATACCTATTCAGTTTTAATTTAGATCCAAACTGAAGCCTACACAGTGCTAATTATTATAAAGAACGTTTAGACTAATCTACCATTTATATCTACAATATACATTAAATCAAAGTGTACTTTTGTTGTTACTGTGAGAGTGTAATTTGCGTCGAGATGCAATTCGGATTTTGGGCCCAGAGGTTAATTACTGTGGAAAAAAATTCATTTGGATCATATTGTTTGAATTTTCTCTTTGCCCAGACTTGTTAGAGCTTGTAGTGCAAACGGTGCTTTGCATTGCTTCCTCCGCTATTACTATTATAAAATTGGATCATATCAAACCGTCAAACCGGATCACAGTCAAAACCATCTACATATTATCTCCCTTAACAAAAAAGAACAAAAATAATATGTTGACGGTGCGACCGTTGGGGTGAGCGCATTGTTTACTTCATTTTAAGATCCGCCTCTTCAAACCGCACGAGACATTTGGAACGTCTACACTGTGACGTCACATGACGTCGTATGTTAGCTGCATTTCCATAAACAAAGTTTAAAAAGTGCAAATATTTTAACAAAGAACGTTTCATCTACTATCTGCATGCAATAGCCATTAATTAAGGTGAGTTTATTTTTTGTGAAATTTTAGTTGTTGTCACCGCGTGAACGAAGTTAGCAGCGAGAACAAGAAGCGATGCATTGTGGGTCAGAATTACTGCGGAAAAAAATTCTATTGAATGAATGTGCAGTAGTCCGAATTTTCTCTTCGCCCAGGCGTTGTCGTTAGAGCTCGCAGTGACGAGCGGCGCTTTGCGCCGCTCGCTGCGCTCGCTATTATTGTCCTTAAGTTTAAATTCTGCTAAGATATTGACAGTGTAACTGTTTGGGTGAGTACAGTTGCGTATAATTATTGTTGGATACCACTTTTAACTTCCATCTTCAAATCCAACAAGACATTAGGAAGTTCTTGACTGTGATTCCACATGGATCATTTTATAAAGCCTAAAAAGGGCAAATTTTTAACAAAAAATGTTTCTTTTAAAACTGTCATCAATTTCAATAAAAGTAAAAAGGAATTTGGAGTGGCTGTGTTGTATATAGTAAGGCCACACTCCGACTAGCACTAGCTAGTGAGGTAACTCCATAATGATAATTTCTCTTAAATATTCATCATTGTATTTTGTTTGTTAATCAGAATAATTATCTAAAATACCTGGGTGTCAAAGATCAAAAAAAAAAAAAAAAAAAAGGGAAAAAAAAGAAGAAAAAATGGCCAACTTCGTGAAAAAATCATGAATTTGTACAATAAACTTACATTTTTGTAAAACACAATCTCCTGAAACACCCCTATTCTATGATCTATTGGTTTATTAACATTTGCAAAATAATCCTTGTACTCTGCACCAACCCCTTTTTTGTAAACCTTTACTTTTTGTGTGAAATAAACACATTTTTATGCGTCCTTGTACACTCATACTCCATTTGGGGGGTATGATTTTGATACTTCCATTTACTCTGTTTTCGGAATTCAACTAGACTGGCTTATACTATGTAACTGTAAGAATTTATTCCGACAAAATTTGAAAGCCTAACGATCTTTTTTCCAGCTAAGTTGATAAAGGATGTATTTTAAGCCATAGTGTGAATGCTGTGGTAAGCACAGCCATGATTTTGTTATGTGCTTTTCTACAAGTCTGTCCTGGTTTTTTGGCAATTTCTTGATTTCTCTATTGTATGAAAGCTGCAGCATAAATACAGCCAAGCCTGTGGCAATGTGACAATCCCTGGATTGAAGCTATTTAAAGTCAAAACTAATTTTATTTAATTAGGCCTCTTGTTTCAGGACTAAAATTTATTAACCCTTGTAAGAAGCAGAATCCTCATTTCAAATCAATGGACTAAAATTTAAGAATTTTGTTGTAGAAATGTTCTCCTTAGGTCATTCATATGCAATAAAGTTTTTGATGGGTGGAGGGTGGAACCCTTTGAACATATACCAGAATTTTCCTGATGAGTGATCAAAGATAAGTTTACTAGGTTCATCAGGTCAAGATGCACTATAATTAGGAATGTCAAAATAGTTATTTTTCTT